GTCAAATATCGAACATGTCGGAATTGTTTTAATGTGACACTTAGCACATAAGCACACTACCACAGATAGCAATAACAGTTATTAACAGATAATAGTTCCAGTTATCAGCAGATAATAGTTCCAGTTATCGACAGATAATAGTTCCAGTTATCAACAGATAATAGTTCCAGTTATCAACTGATAATAGTTCCAGTTATCAACTGATAATAGTTAGCCACAGTATATAGCAGTAACAGTAAGCAACGGATTGCAGTAACAGTTATCAATAGATAGCAGTAATAGTGAAGCACAGATAGCAGTAAAAGTTAGCCCCAGTATATAGCAGTAACAGTAAGAAACGGATAGCAGTAACAGTTAGCAATAACAGTAAGAAACGGATAGCAGTAACAGTTATCAACAGATAACAGTAATAGCTAGCCAAAGATAACAGTAGAGCCATTATCAGTTCCAGATAACATAATCACCAATAACCGCATCCCCATGTCATTGAAAACAGTATCAGTTGGTCACCGTCACCGATAACAAAACAACCATCAGCTTGATTTTCTACAGACTCTGTCTGTCATTTAATTTTCTACTTGCGTACTTTTACTAAATGCATTTGAAAAGTTTAGTTATAGAAATAGAAGATAATTCCTTGACGTTTGGAAATTTTATCGCCAATTCTTCCTCGAGAGACGTTAACTGTTAACACTTGAAGAAAATGAGAATTTCTTATGACTTGATGAACAATTACGAAATGACCCTAAAACAATATTTATCCAGAGTAAGACATGGCCTGCATGTAAATGAAGTAACCGGAGGGATAATTGATGTGAAGTATTGTTTTTAGCCATGTTGGGTTATAAATGAGTCTATTCTAGAGAGAATATAATGGAATTGGTGATAATTCCAAAGATTCAATTTGCCTGCCAACTAAAATACAAATCAATGAAGCAAGGTATTACATTATCAACATGGGAGGCACGTTCATAGCTTATTTCAAATTACAATAAGCAGGGTGTCATTTACTCAAACTGATATTTAGAGATTTTGCAGTATTTATTGGACATTTTCTAGTTGAATTTGGACTAGATTAATAAACCTATTTTCTGCAGTAGGCTTGCACTAAAGTTTCGATTACATAGACAATTTCACTAACATCAACTCTACGAATTATAGCAATCTCACTTATTTAATCATTATCAAACCAAACCATGGTTATTTTTTAAAAACTGCAATGAGTGACTAGATTTTAGAGAAGACGTGTAACGCCATGCAGTGAGCAGGAGAGTGGCATTAACCTCGTTTTCAATAGCTAGAGACATATACACCAGAGAACAACTGAAATATCAATGCTTGTCTGTGGATCCACTATATTGAAGGCCTATTGTATATTGTCTTATATATCATGAGCTCTATGCAGAAATAAGTATTGTTTAAACCAAAGTCTAAAATAAGTCCGTGTGTTTATTTATGTGTGTAATAGATAAACAATGACCCTGACAGAATAAAATAAACATACACATTCCTCAGGAATTGGCTAACTATTGTCAGAATAACACATCTTATTTCACTTGACATTCGGTAAAATAGAAACAAACCAAGTGAACGGGTCTAGATTTTCTTGGTAGGATTATATTTATATATACAGACTAAATCAAATTCTATATCAAAAATATTATTTATGTTATGTCATACGTGTCATTTGAAAATTCTATGAGGATAAGTTCTAAACTTCTAGGTTGTTACATATCCTCGGGTATCTTTTTAACAGTTAAATAACAGGAACTAGTCAATTGTAAATATTACGACTTGAAAGAAAAGGAAAGGTTTGGGCTATATAATTACAAAGCGAAGCAGTGCTTAAAGACTACAGTTTTCTACATTTCCTGTAATATATGGATGGTATTCTATGTCACAATCTCTCTGGGAACATCACCTGGTATTTTGTCGAAAAACAATTTAAAACACCAGTCAATTGTCTTTGATTTGGCCAATGAAAACAGACAACGTCGAGCTTTCTAGAATGAGGTAAATATTGCCATGAATTTTTGATAATTTCTTCTACAAGTCAAAAGGAAAATTATTTTGGTAAATTTCATTTCTGTAATAATTAGAACAATTTTCTTCACTTAAAAGTAATTAGCTTTCAACATTTTACAAGTAAGAGAGAGTGCAAGTATAATGGAATATTCTTGTGTGTTTTTTAATATTCCTTGTTAAGAGTGAACTGTGAACTAGCAGGTGTCCCAGGGGATTAATTGATTAAACCAACTCATCTAGCCCTTTGATTCAATTTTACTAGTTTAACTTACACTTAAAACGCCTTTTCCTTGTTAAATGTTCCATATAATATAATGATCAAATATATACTTCATATAGACTTGCGAAAACCTAGATAGATGAGTAGGCAGTTTGGGGTGTTAAAGATAAAGTTAGGGGAAAGGTCGTCGAAAATAAGCCTCGAGAACGTCCAGAACGTTTATATTGAATATTGTTTATGTAATTGAAAGAATGAGTGCATGAATGTTAATGCCGATTCCCAAATTTGACCTCATTGCACACGAGGCTATCCGTTACATTTAGACCAATCAGATATAAGTAAATAAAACGTAAGACCCACTGAAATCTTTAATATTATCTACTATAAGAAGAACTTGCGTGTAAAAGTCTACAGATTATAATATGAACGCATTGAACTGTATGTTTCAAGTAGATTATTAGACGTTTTCTTTATCGTCTGTATTCTAGCTTCGTAATTTACACCAATGTAGGCCTATAGTGATTGAATGGAATTATTTTTGATAGCACCTAGTTAAAAATAAACGTCGGACAAATTATAAAGGTAAAAGAAATCGATTAAAAATCATAACATCAAAGAAAATTTACTTGTGTGTTTCAAATGTAAAATAAAACCAGCAAAATGAAACTATTAATGAAGCGATAACGTTAAAGGTAGAGTTCCATTAAAATTTGCCTTACCTTATAGCACTGTTGAATAAGGAAGTCCGACTTCGGTCCTCGGTTATGCTATTATAGAAATATCCGTATATATGTACAGACGGTAGGATCTGTTTTCAACCTCTCGAAATAAACAGCCAATAATTTTGAGATTTGATAACAAATTCAGTAAGTTACATTGAAGGTATTTAGGCGTCTAAATTTCGAGGTCGTTTATTAGGACATGTCATGTAGGCTATTATTGATAATGTCATACTATTTGTCCTATTCTACTGCATGCTATAAGAACATTACTAAATGTCGGAGAACATAAAATATCGTCCAATCCACTGATACGTTTATGTTATATTAGATTGTAGACAAACATGGCTTCAGATTTGGAAGGAATATGCTTAGCATGAAGAAAGTGTTGGCTTTTATCAGAAAGCTAATCACAAGTCGTGGCACCATAAAACTACACGCACGTTATTATATTAGTCTTACCATTCACTATAAATGTCGTTAAAATTACATTAAATTATTTTCCTTAATATGCCAATAAAATTACTATGAAAACCACAATAAAATGAAGGATATAAAATAAAAAGGAGATAAAGTTAAATTGATCTGCGACTTGATATAGAATTAGTTTTTTTTTTAAATTACTCCTCTGTCTTTCTCCGTCATTAATTACCTAGTATTTTAATTTACCATATTTTGCAATAAAAGTCGAAATCAAACAAAGTTCCGAAACTCTTTGTTTGACGATTAGTGAAATGATTTCAATTTGAGAATATTTTAATTAAATAAATAAGACTAATGTCTATATTTTACTTCAATAATTTACTCAAATAATTCGTGTCCTATAATCTTATAAGAATCAGAAAGTAATGTGATTCGTTTTCGAGATTCTGAAAAAGAAGTTTTATTTACAGTTTGTATCAGCTAATTTAATGAATTGGGTTAATTAATATAGTGCGACGAAAGTATGAAATGTCGAATAGTTTTGTCCCCATCTCCCCCTCCCATTGATATTTCAGAGTATATTATCTTTCTTTTAGAAGAAATAAACACCTGGATGACATCGAGTTGTCATACCTCTTGGCATAGATCTTTCGTGGATTATCCGTACACAATTACAGCTGGGTCGATTGGATTAATGAGAAGACTTAATCATCCAGTCCATCATTTGATTCGTCAAAATTTCGTCAAGAAACTTTTTTCAAGGTGACCGAAATTTCCAGATTATACCAAAACCGTTCAAAATAGAACTTAGTACAAAAACCTCTTACTTTAATTAAGTTTGTTTGTTTTGAAATAATTTTTGATAATTATAAAGATTACCACATTAATAATAGCCCACCTGACAGCTGTAGGAGAGGTGTTAAAACTCGTTCCAAAACGATGAATTAACGAATTCTTTCGTACCTCTGTCTAATTTACCTGAAGATGTTAAAAATGTGGAAACTATCAGCATTCCGGCTGTAGATTATACTCTATTACCTTCTCACTGTTTACGTCAGATTCAAACAATTTGTTTTCGCTGAAAAAATATTGAGGATGTATACCCAATTATTTTATAACTTAAAGGAATATTGCCATGTAATGAATGAATGATGAAATGACAAAACGGATGGTCATTCAGAAACGATGTCTGAAGATATCATTTTCTAGATGTTCATACAATCAAATCAACTTACAATGGAAGATAAAAATCTATAGGTTCCTGATTAGAGTTTCTGTATGCAACCGATAATGACGCACCCAAAGGCCAAGCAAAATTCCATTGAAAATTATACTGATGTATTGGTATTGTGCATTGACAGATAAAGGGAGATAACTAGGAATTATTTTAAAGCTATTCAGACCACAGCTCTTTGATAACTATATTCACACTGTTGATCTCCATGATGTAATAACTCCATCGATAGCAACTAAAAGGTGTCTATAATATTTTCACCTTGTGATTTGATTTCATCTAATGCTAAATAAAATCTGGCGATTTAGCTCATGGACAAATCAACATTTGTCCGATTTGGACGTCACGTGATATTGCCGGTCATGTGACTGCAATTGCAAGGCATGTGTGGACGATTGTATTGTGCAGTGGAATTTGGTCTTTAAATTAAACCTACGATTCAACTTACAACAGGTACGCCTTGTTATATGTATGCAAATATAATGGAAATCAAATATTGCTGTATAGGAATTTCATTTCTCCATTGACTGACAGTTTCAAACTATCATAAACTGAACATTCTTTCATTACCATGTAATTGTAATGTATGTATGTATGATGTACAGTGGTGTAACCTATTTTCGTGGATATAAGGATTCAACACCGAATTTCGTCAAAGTAAAAAAAATGAAAATTTTTTTTTGTCTTAGATGTTTCCTCAGATATTCTACAAAATAATCAAAATTGGTTTATTTCGATTTTCTTTATGAATCCCTCATTTTGACCCATATTTCATGAGCAACCAACACGGCAACGGCAGCAGAATGCGTCACCTATTTTCATGTACAATGTTTGATCTATAAATAAGTCGAGAAAAACATATTGTATAGATACCGGGTGGTATAATTAACTTCTCTTAGTAGTTATCTTTAATATCAATTCATTATAACTAGTGACAATTCCTTCAAAGAACCACGATTTTAAAATAAGATACCTAGCGTAATTTATTGCTAAAAGTCACTGAAACAACATAAGAATATGGTCCACTTTGTGTTCCATAGAAATTTTCTGCTGACACGGAATCCGCTAGTTGATCACGTGGCTTCATTCGTTGGACTACATTCTAGCAGACGACACTTGGAATTCCGATTACCGCTTGGGATTATAAGGAAATTCGGCCAATAAAAAATGGTGAAGTTTGGTAATAACTGAAATCCACCATTTTGTATTTGTCAAAGTATACATTAATACATTGTACCTTGCTTGAAACTACTGGATTCATTCTACTAGCTGATATTGTACAGAAAACCCATGTTTATCAAAACAAACTAATGCGGAGATCGTGCAAGGTCGCTCATGTAAATTATTAAACATTTCCGGAAATCCACGAATAATAGGTTTCCACGAAATTAGGTTACTTGACTGTATTACTATTAGCCTGGTCAGTAGGTCTAGGCCTACGATTGAACTAATTGCTTTGCATCTAAAAGCTCTCTACTCTCTAATAAATGATAGGATGATCATAGGATGATATGCCTTTTTAGTACTAAGCCCACAAACTGCCTAGCTCTCTACTTTTAAGGCCTACCCAAAGAACATGGCATATGTTGTGGAACTAATTTTTAGTTTAATATATAGATAGAACATTAGGTAGCCCATAGCTGAACTGAAGCTCCATAGGTGTGAAGGCAAATTTAGATGTTGAGGTTCCCATTAATGCAGTCAAAGCATAAACTTATTACTTACTGGTACTCATAACCATGTTGTTATTTGGTGTCATATTCATAAGTCATAGCTTTTTGTGCAATCATTAATTCAAGTCTGGTACTGTATACTTCCAGATCCTAGTAAAATGGCTTTAAAAGGAATAAAAGTGATAGAAATGGCAGGATTGGCACCAGCTCCATTTTGTGGAATGATTTTGTCTGATTTTGGTGCCAGGGTTATAAGAGTTGATAAGGTAAACAAAGGAAGTTAATGAACTTGAACACCCACACATAAGTCAGGGTCACCAAACTATAAATTGTAGCAGAGTTTATCCTGAATTTTGAGAGAGCCCTACTGCTAAGCTCCACGTAAATTGCGTAAGACGACTTTTTCCCTTAAAAATATAACTATATTGTTTTGGTGTATGTCAGATTGCACAGAGTAGGTCTACACATTATATGCTGTAGTAAATTGTATGACATAATTGTGTTAATCACTGCATAATAACTATGAATCCAGGTACAATCTGGTGGGTTTGGAGACTATTTAAGTTGAGGGAGATTTTAATTCGAAACTTTGAGTACCTTGACACCCTCCATAATCTGACATACTTATAATGTCCCAGTGAATGTTGTCCTTGATGAATCCAGGTACATTCTGGTGGATTTGGAGATTATTTAAGCCGAGGGAAAGAGTCTATAGCCGTGGATTTAAAACAACCTAAAGGAAGAGAAATAGTCCATAAATTATGTCTATCAGCTGATGTTGTTTTAGAACCATTTAGAGCAGGTGAGAGATCGATTTTTTTTTAAGTCAAAAAAGCCAATCATTTCATAATCTTTGACATGTCTTCTGGAACTTGTGACCATAAAATGTCTGAAAAATACAACCAAATCGTCAGCTGTGATTCAGATCCATGTGAATTATAGGGTTGATTTTAAATTACTGAGAGGTTGTTATGATGCCCAGTAGACTCATGGAGGCGCATTGCTCACTAAGTGTGTGTTGAGATTTTATCCAGGAAAACAATCAAGGTCTATTTCATTGTAGGAGTAATGGAGAAGCTAGGGTTAGGACCAGATAAAATAATGAAAGAGAACAAGAGATTGATCTATGCTAGATTGACAGGGTATGGTCAGAATGGTGCCATGGCACAACGAGCTGGTCATGATATTAATTATTTAGCTACATCAGGTACTAGATTACTAATAGTGTTACCATCCTACCCACATGATCCTAGCAAGGTTTGAATAGGCTGTAAGAGAAAAAGAAAAAAGGTCCTTATTTTTAAGGATATCGACTCAATTTCCATGACTCATCTTCTACCGAATGATCCTGGGCTGAATCAAATTATATTCTGCGGAGAATAACACAAGCTTATCTGTTTACAGCTGTTTTAACTAGAATAATAAGAAAAGAAGACCAATTGATACTTGTTGATGTCGAATGAAACTCTGACCCACTTAAATTTGATAATTAGACAGCAATTTAGATTATATATATATATATATATATTGGTGCTGATAATAAGTGGAGTTTATTGTATTTTTACAGGTATATTATCCTGTTTGGGTAGAAAAGATGAATCCCCACAGGCCCCTATTAATTTATTAGCTGATTTTGCTGGGGGAGGTATGACATGTGCCATGGGTATAATATTAGCCTTGTTTGAAAGGAGTAAATCTGGACATGGTCAAATAGTGGACTGCAGTATGACGGAAGGGGCAGCATATTTAGGTAAGATATTGAACACATTCTTGTCAAAACTTGCTGATTCGTACCATATTCTCTGATAGCTATTTGATCACTAGTTAATATGTAGAATGCAGATGGTATATATTGCTATGTTGACAGTCAAACTTATAAATATTGCTTAAGACAGAACATGCAACTCTGACAATGTATACTAGTCATTCTGGATATAATTTTTCCGGCAGAAAGAACACCCAATATTTTACAAATGAGATTTGTTTCATATTGATAGAAAATGTGTTAAGGATGTCAGGTTGATGACTGGCACATTATGTTCAGTCTTGCCAAAAGTAGAATTTGTATGTATAATTGTAGGTAAATGGTTGTGGGCGTCTCGTGAAATGTTTATCTGGGGTAAAGAAAGAGGCGACAATGTATTAGATGGGGGAGCTGCCTATTATAACACCTATAAAACTAAAGACAATAAATATATGGCAGTAGGAGCTATAGAACCACAATTCTTCCATCAACTAATCCAGGGTAATTTGGTACTTTTTGTATCTGAGTGGTCCAAAAAAACATGTATTAATACCCCCTACAACATCTTACCCCTATATATAGCCTTAATTGAAAATTAGGATAGATATTGCTATTGCCCCTGTCTTTCTATCAACATATCTTGTCAGCACAATAGAAGCTTTATAAGACTTGAGTTATTGACCATTACCTTTTGAAATCAGCTATTTAACTCAAAAGGGGTTTGCATTCATGAGATCTTAGGCAAGGTCAAAGATTTCTTTACTTTTGCTGTTAGTGTGTGTTGTATTGCTAGTAATTTTTCTTTCAGTTTCTTTACAGTCTGAATGTGTATTTTGTACAAGACATGGATGGGCTTCATCACAAGTGTTGAATTACTTTATCTTTTAGGTTTAGGTTTAAATACTAATGAAGTGAATCAATTCGGTGACCAAGTGAAACTAAAAGAACAGTTTACTTCAATATTCGCCTCGAAAACACAAGATGAGTGGACGAAAATATTTGAGAATACTGATGCTTGCTGTACACCAATTTTAACAAAAGATGAAGCCCCATTACATCCACATAATAAAGAAAACAAGACATTCCTTAGTAATTCTGATAAAAAATGGGAACCAGGACCGGCACCGAAACTATCTAGAACACCAGGAAACAATAAGTTATTACCAAATGTAATAGGTGGTTTCAACACTGTAGAAATTCTGAAAGAACTGGGATATACTTCTCCTGTTATTGAGGGCTTAATTGAGAAACAGACTGTGGAACAATGTCAGGAAAGTTCTAAATTATGAAAATGATTCCACACATGATTTTGGTAAACAAGGGCATTCCTGAAAGAGTTTAGCTTCCACAGCAATTGTTGTATTCCTTTTTTGCATTTTAAATATTCGCGGTTATATTTCAATCACAAAATAACAATCTGGTTAACATGCAAATCTGACTGTTTTCAGTTTAATTTAAAGGTGACTTTCCTTGCCATCCATGATCTTATGAAATTGTTATGCATCTCTTGTTCTGGGTCATTTGAAATTCAACCAATCAAATTCTCTTTTCAATAAAAGACTACATGACTACATGAAATTTCTGTGATATTCATTATTATACTGTTGACTCGTTTAACAATATTTTTAAATGGTTAACAAAAATTAATACAACTTTTGATGCTATTAAAAATAGCAGAGAACTTTATTTTAGAAGAATCAAATCAGATCATGGATGAGAAGAGAAGTAAACTGCTGAAAAACATGAAACTAAACATCCAGATCAGTATTATCATCAGATAGACTTAATGGTTCAAGGGCATTGATTCTGCTTATAATTATATGGGAGTGATTTTTATGTTATTATTCTAGTTTTAACATTTTTGAGGTAAGCCTATTAGGCTGGGGTGAATATTGAATTGTATGGTAGCTTACTAAGTTAATTGTGTGAAGGTCTAGTCCTTAAAAATAATTTTGCTACAACTTACTACTAAAAGTTCCAAAATGGCATTTATTAAGGAAAGAAACCCGAGTCAAAAATTATTATAATATTTCAATGAAAGTGGCAAGTGCCTTATTTATATTTTTTCTTGTTATATGATTATTATACCTGAATAAAAATATACTTTCTTAGAGTGTTTGTATAGAATTATACGTCTTCTAAAAGATGATGTGATGTTGGTTCAAAGTTCACGTGATATTTAGAGTTGGCTATTATGACTTACCACCTAGGTCATACCAAAAGATCACATACCAACCTTTGAAGCATTGCACCCAATTATAAAAATTCAAGGAATCTGGACTCGCTTCCATTCTTTGATAATCACCAAAATACTATAGTGCAAATACTCTTAGAATGTCTCAAGTGTAATGAAAAGTAGGTAAACCTTTTACACTTCATTCAATATTGCTATCATTGTTTCCAGAAATGAAATGAATTGAGTTTTATGTCCTACTATTCTGCACCATGTGGACATCATTGTTTCCAGTCAAAGAAAATATATAAAGCTATTTAAACAAAATTTATTATTCTTCCTCCTAATAACAAAAAAAGATGTAGTCAGTCAAGGTACATCCAGACCAATTCAGAACATTAACATAAGCAGTTAGAATTAGAGTTTGATTTGAAAATAATAGAATTTGAAAGTAGGTCGATTACAACCATTAAAAACAAGAGTACAGTACCAAGTAAAACCAAGTCTAAGACTGAATTCTATCAAAACTGAGAAATGTGGGCATTATTTTGTACTCTTAAACAGGAGACACTATATTTTTGCAAAGAAAATCCATAAGGGACTACCATTGAAAATAAATATCACTAACAATACTGACTATTGCACCTATCCTGAGTTAATATAATGTCTACAAGAATATATCATTAAAGGGATTGTAAAAAGGTTTTCTAAAATTGTGCTTCAGAGACACTGATAGCATCAATTTGCACCTTTGCAATTATCAGTCAGATAATATGCTTTATCACATGACCCTTCGCGAATTGTGACCTACACGATACACATAAAAAATTTAGAAAAACCTCTTTACAATCCTAAGTACATCATACCAATCACTAATATTAAGGGCACTGTAACCATTAATCAATAACAAGATGTTTGGCTGTAGTTGTAGTTGTAGTTGACCAGAGTTAACACTGGGTTGACTCCAGGAAGCACAGACCATGGTATGGCAAATCAAAAGTCAAACGCGTAAGAAAAATAAAAAAAATAAAAACATAGTTCAAAAGCAACAAGTTGTTACAGGCCTCTAGATGGGCAGAATGACTGATGATGTTACATTGCATAAAGAAACATTAATAATTCACTTCATTCTCTATCAGCTAACATTAGTCATTGAATCAGTAATTAAAATCTGCTAAGGCCAGATAAGGTAACAATAATTAATTTAATTCAATATTAACTTTTAGTACTGTAATTGTCTAAAATTCAAGAAAATCAATGACAGATTTTTAAGTTAAATTATTAATTGTAGGCCTTGAAGTAATATATATATTATATATGTATCAAACATTCAGTAATAAAAAGAATTCACAGCCATTTAAGAAGAAAAAAACACAATAAGAAGACACATAATTAAAGTGGTATCATTATAAATATCTACTACACTCCTAGCTGAATTTATAATCCATAAACTGGTATATTATTTGGCTATATGTAAAAAAAATTTGAAGTTCAAGTAAAGTCATGCATAGATGAAAAACATTGCTGCAGATTTATGAACAAAAAGAAAATGGCAAAAATATGAGAAGAAAGGCACCAATAGTTAAAATACAGGAAATTAAAAACGTGAAAATTGAGTAAAATTTAATATCTTAACAAATAATGACAATACTGTCTTATAACAAATAATTAAACTTTCAACTTGGCCTTCAAGCTACTAATGAGGTGCTTTTTTCAAATTTATCCCATTGAAAAATAGTCCATAAATTATCATTTGTCAACATGATTAGATGAAATATGGACTAAATTTATTTCTTAATTGAAAGTAAAGTATTCTTGAACTTCTATCTGACATAACTTGGAATCAATGGAAATAATTCATGTATTAATTCCTTTTGGAACCTAAACCACTTTTGCATGTAATAAGTACATCACTAATAAACAACATAATCATAACATAATCATGTGGTATTTTCAATAAAAAACATGATTCAAAAGAATAGATTTTTTTTATAAAAATTGATAATAGATAACTTATGTAGTTTATATCACAAAGGGACATGTTACACACAAATATATTAGTTTAGAATACATATTGTTTCAAAATCACAAAAAAATTGGGTTTTTTAAATTGATAATATAAGTTACAATATTTATATCACGTTGGGACAAGTTACACACTAGATGTATTGGTTTACATAAATAATGAGAATATATAATGATACAAAATGACACATCACTCTACTTCTAGGGTTTTCAACCTTTTTCTTTCTATTGCACCTTCAAGATCTTTGATCGATACCCCTCCATTCCCCAATAAAACATTACTATTACCCCTTTTCCCCTGACTGAGGAACGACTAAAATTATATTTGTCAAAATAATTTATGCTAGACGACAAAGTGCCTTATTACCCCTGAGAAATTTCCAAATAACCCCATCTGGGATAATAACCTCCAGGTTGAAAACCCCTGTTTTACTTACAAATGTTTTTCCATTAAGAAACTTTAATTAATATCTTTCAGGTTTTTCATTCCTGACTAATAAATTGGTATTGTTTCAGCTATCCATGGAACTTTTATTTCTATCCAAAAACGTCAAAATAGAAAAATACTTTCACATAAGAAAATTTGAGATCAATGGCCACACAGAAAATAATTTGAAATTTTGAATTTAGAAATCATGGAATGAGGTAAATTCTTTTCAAAATTGACTATTTTTGATTTTAGCTAAAATACAGTGAACTATTTCGATGTCTTTCTCCTTTAAGCACTATTAGATTTTCAAGTGAAAAAATGGTATAAAAAATGCATCTGTCCTTACTAAAAAACAATGCCTTAAAAAATCTTTAAAAAAGATAAAGGTATGAATAAATAACAAGAAACAATATAAAAAGTTGTATATTACAGAGATTCAGCAGTCGGAATTAAGAGAATGTGTTGAAGCATCACCAGATACCTGAGGCTGACTTGTATTTTGAGCAGTTGGGGATTGAGCAAGAGATCTTTTAGGGCTACCAATATCTACTTCATAATCTCCAATTTCCATTTCTTGTTCCTTTGGTGGGATAGCCAGTTCTCTACCAGGACAACATTGTGGGAAATATAAGGTCCACAAATACACTAGGATACATGTCCAGCTTGATGCCATCTTGACCCATACAGCTGACCAATTCAGTCCAAACTTATTAATATCACTCTCCTCAGGCCTGACAGTGAATAAAACACAGATGCTTTGATACATTGACAATTTGGTGATGGAAGTGTGCTTATCATTAATAAAGACTTAGAAACCCTAATGTTTTTATCAATGCAGTTCAATTAACAAATAAGTAAAAACAGTAAAGCAATAACTCTGATATTTAACAAATATCTTATGATCAGAATTTTATAGGAGCTATTTGTGAGTTCACATTTCAGAATTAAAACTTCTCCACACAAGTTTTCCTATAACATTGTGTCTTGCTTTGAACATTTTGCTATCTAACAGCAGGGCTAATATACAAATATATTTTTAAGAAAAATCAATCCAGATACTAACCGATACCAATTAGTTAGCTGCATCATAATATACAGACCAGCCAGAAAAAATACCAGGTGAAAAAACCAGTAATGATATACTAATCCTTCTACTTCATTATGATTCACCTTTTGACCTCCTAATTCTGATGGATTATCTCCTAAAAATGGGACAAAACAAACTAAATAAAAATCTTCCTTAGTATTCATTAATTAAGATGAGCAACCTCACAATAAGAATTCAGAGACAATTTAACAGGACAGGGATGTCGATTTAGCTATTTGCTGAACACAGAACTTGACACATCCTGCACCAAAAATATTTTTAAGAAATCAGACAGGATCAAAACAATGAAGATTACAAAAATTCTAAAACTTACTATTCTGAATGACACAGCAACAACATGCCTTCATTTTCTACAATTCAATTTAATAAAAAATATCAGCAATATGCAGATATGATAATCACTTATAACCAGATGATTCAACTGAGCATTACAGTGCAGGTATTCAAATTTAATATGTACATTATTTCACCTATTCCACAACTTTACTTAGACCTACATGTACAATATTTCTTCAAAATAAACTAAAATATTGATCTTATTAATTTAAACTTACCACAGCATGCCTGACACCAAACCTATGTTCTTGATGAGATGTCTTTATGCTGTAACAAAAAAATATCATAATAACTTTACTTAATAAAATAATAATCTTACTAAATAAAATAATAACTTTACTAACTAATATAATAATTTTACTTAATAAAATGATAACTTTACTAATATAATAATTTTACTTAATAAAATAATCACTTTACTTCATGAAATAATAACTTTTATAACTTTACTTCATGAAATAATAACTTGACTTTAAAATAATAACATAACTTAATGAAATAATAACTGAACTCAATAAAATAATAACTGAACTCAATAAAATAACAACATAACTCAATAAAATAATAACTTAACTCAATAAAATAATAACTTTACTTCATAAATAATATCTTTACTTCATAAAATAATAACTTTACTTCATAATTTAATAACTTTACTTCATGAAATAATAACTTTACTTCATGAAAAAATAATTTTACAAAATAAAAGGAACAAAATAATAACTTTACTTAATCAATTTACTGAATTGTTCTCAGTGACACCATGCTCGAAACCCAATGAGACACAATGGAGCTCAAAATTCATTGAAAGAAAACAGTCTGCCAACCTTGAGTACACTGCCATTACTAACATAATAAAAAGACCAGCATAGGCAGAAATGAGATCAGCTTCAGGAAATTGGGAATTAGGTCGACAAATATGTAATGTGGTGTTGGTTGGCATCTCGGAAAACTTTTGACCCACATTGGATACAAAACCAATTTTTGGCGGTGCTGTATTTTCTCTTGTTTTATCAACCTGTGCTGCCATAATTGCAATGGATTCGATTATAGATACTGAAAATAGAACAAAAAAGGGTAGACATATAGTCAAATTTGGTTGAAAGCACAGTAAACTTACATGTAGATTGAATGCAATTGAGAACTGCAGTTGTAGTGTGTTCTTGTCTGGAGGTCCAGGATTGTGTAGACATTTGGATAATGCAACCCAGCATCCACCTGTCATTAATGCAGGTGAGAACTGCTGGCAAAAAAACTAGTGTTTGGACATGACAATAAACCTCTTTGCCTATATGATTATAATCCTGATCAAAGTTGTACTCTAGAAGTATTTTAGAAGACTCTCACTTTCTTCTGGTGGTTCACTAGACACTGCTGACCATGTCAAATAAACAACATATAAACATATCACTGAGGCCTGTAATATACCAGCATTGGCATTGCCTGAAATGGAAACAACATTATCAAATACATCAAGGATCAGTTCACTAACAACACTAGAAAACTGGAAATGCAAGTGTCTTTAAGATATAAATTGCTTGCAATCAAATATTCAAGTTGATCAGTGTATATTCAATTGTTTCAGACATTAAAAATTATTACAGGCTTTGCTTCATTGCGCTATCCATGAAAGACAGTAACCTGTCAGAGCAATTTAACAAATATATTATGAACTAATATGTGTTTGAAGCAGTGAATATTGCAAAAAACACATGAGATGATGGTCTTAAGACAGAAATTTCTAAGAAAAAAAAATGAGATAACTTACGATTTGCTGTACATGGTAACATTGTCATGAAAGTAATAAATACACACAGACCAGAGTTAACAGCTAGAAAGATCTTATTGGTAGTACAATCCTCAAAGGCATAGAAGAGAAAGAGACAAACCATACCACCAATAGCTAGCATTATAAACAAGCCAGCACAGAACAATGTACCTTCAAAACATAGGGGGAATTTAGTTCTTAGTTCTTAAACAGTCTGGATAGCAAAAGACTAACATATTGTGCTGTCTGCGTAAAGCCTTAAGATGCAGGAAAAGCCCTTGTTTAATAATCTGAATACACTTGTCCTATGTTCACTGAAATTTCTTAGTGAAAGTGAGAGGAGTACTTGAGTCCGAAACATTTAAGAAAATTAAGATGGAGAATGTAAAGCATAGCTATAATCATATTGTATTAAAATCCCTGTAAAACCAGTCTAAAGTTGTCACTTCTATACCTACCAACATATCCACAAGTACTTCTGTATTTTCCTTTTCTGTTCACCCTGTGGATTGAAAGAGCAGAAGTTTTACATCTTATTATTCTGCATCTTTTAAACAGAAGAGCCAAACATTGAAATTTTCCATGATAGGAGATATACATGTATGGTAATTTTAATACTTATGCTTTACTGACATCAAAAGACATATTTTTATGGGACCCAACAGAAGAAAAAAAGGTCATATTTTACAGTTGGTAAGAAAAAAAAAATCATTTTTTACATCTTATTATTCTGCATCTTTTAAACAGAAGAGCCAAACATTGAAATTTTCCATGATAGGAGATATACATGTATGGTAATTTTAATACTTATGCTTTACTGACATCAAAAGACATATTTTTATGGGACCCAACAGAAGAAAAAAAGGTCATATTTTACAGTTGGTAAGAAAAAAAAAATCATTTTTGTTTTGTTAGGAATAAGAAAATTCTGTGATAGTCAAACATACCATTTTGCATTCCATGTATGAGTGAAATCCACCAATAGAATTAACTGTAGCAAAATAAATATAAAACCACCAACCATTCCCAGATACATTAAATCTACAATATACCAGACAAAATCAAAACAGCACTATATATATATGGCAGTGTACAATGCATTATTCCAAAAAATATCATTAACTCAAACCAACAGTACACAGTTTTGAATGATGTGGACAATTAAATTCTCTAATAAACTTAAAAACTTACAAATATTATAAGCAGGAGGTATGAAAAATGCCCCAGTACATAGACAGCATAGAAATACAAATTTAAAAAACCAATATCTACAATATGAGAAAGAAACATTTGACTTGTTTGTTTCATTTGATTTATCAGATTATACCAAAACAAGATTTTTTGAATGAATAAATTTATTTTAAGGACTATAAAAACACAATCATAGTTTATATATAAACATTTATTAACTTTTACCTTATTTGTTACCATTAATACAACAGAATTCTATGTAAATGCAATTTTTAGTTGCAGTGAACATCCACATCCACATTCTATTTCCAATTACAATGTACTCTTTCTTAATTACGCATGGTTTATAGCATACAATGAGTGTCTCAGTTTATTGTCCCATCATCTGAACAATTAAACATTTTTTACATATCTGCCCAGAAAACATCCGTCACTGACAGAGGGAACTCAGTTTTTTAATACTGGCATTTTCTCTATACTTACCCATTTTGGACAGAAGCTCTCCAATGATTGCTATTAGGTACACATGGTGTTAATATCATTAATATAAAGTGGAAGACAATAATACCCAAACCAACACGATAGACAGCTTTATATCCTATCAATTTAGAACAGTTCTCACCAGCTGATATCATTGTACATGTCTCATTCAGTCCCTACAATATACAAATCAGAAATTAAAAATATTTGCAGCATTCAAAAATTCATTGCAAGATACTTTTAGTTAACCTTTCAGATAGGGTAAGGGACTTATTTCTGTAGATTTATAGACTATAGTCTATAGTTTTTATCAATTACAGCACTTAAATTTCCCACCTTTCACAAAATTCAGGCTGCCTCTATAATGAAATAAAGCTGTAGGCTACTATGTTGACATGACATTTGATTAATGCTAAACTAAAATAAGACCATGCAGGAAAATACAATTTGATACTTCAACACTAGCATTGTAATGAAATTTGACATGACAAAGGAAATACAACTCACTGATTGTATAATAACATCATGTAATTGTGGTGATAACATTAAACATGATATACTGATGGCCACAACTAGAAACAGTGTGTACATAATTCTTGTACCAGTGGATTCATTGATAGCTGGTAATCCTTTACAACATAAACTACATGATGCTGGACCACAACAGCATGCCAGCTGAAATATATCAAGAAAGAGTTTAAAGTTTGAGATACTTCTTATCATGATAACAGATTAACTAGTTGCTTTTTTCCTTTTTTGGATGGTGAGCCTGTCCCCTCAACTTATAATAGAAATGAACATTTGTTCACTCTGAATCCAAGCATGTGATTCTAAAAGCCTATTTTCTTATTTATTTTGCTGACTGTCATTTGTCAAAATAGCTTTTAAATCCTTCTAGTAAACATATTATAATTATCTGACTAGGGCGACAGTGATGGACAGAAAATGGGTAAACAGAATCAATGTCACAACTGACCTGCTCTCTTTTTCTCTCTCAGCACGTTTTCAAGATGGAAAATTTGCGTGTTTTGGGTAGATGTTTAACCACGAGTTATTAANACACGTATTGTTACACAAAACTGATGTTTGCGTTTGAAAATTTTCAAGTAAACACAGCACCTCTTCAAATACTCGTGTTGGTGTCATAACCATATTTCCGGTGGCTGAACGTAATGTCAATTTCAGGATTACTGGTTGTTGATTCAAGGGCAAAAGGTGGCTGTAAAACGGCTGACTGTTTAAGGACAACCAATCTACAAATAATGAAAGATGCACTGGCATTGGGGTGAAATTTGCCTATACTTCAACCTGGTCAGGATACAGTGTTGTCTGACAGGGGTTTCTCCCGGTACATTTCATCGTGACACTTGTCCAATACGTTTACCACCTGAATATAGGACGCTATATAAAAGACGCGTTAGTGTTTTAGGGCTAATCCTTGGTCACACTTCATCATTAAATAAGAAAGGCTTGCTGGACTTACCAACTAATCCAGGCTTGCCTAATCATGGCTAACCGAAATGTCATATACTTATTAGTGGTATGTGTAAGTTTAACTACTGTGGTGTATTGTCAAGAGGATCTATTTGATGATACTTTCGGAGCTGATCCTGGATGTAAGGATCCTTGGTCTACAGAATGGACGAGGGATGCTGGAGATTGTACCAAAGTCCACTTCTGTGTACAAGGCAAAAAATATTGGACGATATCTTGCAATGATACAAGAGTTTGGTCGAATACTGGTCATGCTTGTGTGTTGCCTTTATCACAATGGGACGATTGTAACCAGGTTATTACCACACCAACTATCAGTAAGTAGGAAGATTGATTCTTTATTTTATTTTCTGACATGTGAACTCTCTGAAAATGTGACAAACTCAGTTTGATAGTGGAATCAAAGGTACAGGAAACAAACCCTGCATCTCTAGCCTGGTCTCTAACCGCAAACCAAACATAACTTTGCAAAATTCCTGTGCGATCTACTAATATTAGTCAAAATGATTATCCCTTTATCCTGCCTACTGAAAAATGAGATCTCTGCAACTATAAAATAAAACGACGAATCGACTGATAATAAAGGAAAAAATAAATCACACGATAACGTGCAAACAGTAGGTAAAAAGTCGATACAATTAGAGTAAATGTAGCTAGTTTGGCTAATGTCAGGACAGATGGATAAGTCGACTCGTTATCAATTTCCAACTTTACCATTGGATATTTATAGGATCGCTAATGAAGAATTGGTGTAATGTTTCCCCCCGAAACACTAGACAATAAATCATTTCTGCTTAAATATAAAGCATATCGTTCTCATGTATGTTATAGTTAAATTAAGTTTAAGACTTTATGCCTACAAGCCCGTAGCTACAGAGGCCTTAAAAAAGGATTACCCCCAAACCGGGAAAAACCCCACGAAAAAATCGAACAACCGAGCAATTCCATTACTACAACTTTACACCATGCACCATTGCCCCTCCGGATATATTACCCGCCTCTTCCAACAATCAGGTTTGTTTACGAGCCTGATTTCAATATTGATTTGGTCACATATATAACTTTCCCTATTTGTTTTCAGACGATGAACGATGTGTAGTGCCGACTGGTATGAACCCAGATCCTGATAATTGCGCCCAGTTTTTAGCTTGTGATAACCGTACAGTAGTAGCCACTATGTCGTGTCCGGAAAATACCCTCTTCTCCACCAGAAACAACACCTGTGAACTTAGTTATATGGTAGCGGATGAATGCAGGACCAGGCAGATTCCTAGTCATGTTTCAGTCAGTAAGTATGACCTGATACATCGTACCCCACTACTGGTTTTGACAGTCTTATTAATTCGAGCTAATATCACCGAGTGCTGTTGTTTCCAAATACATTATCATATAGTTTGTAACTTCCTGATCCTCTCTACTGAATTGAAGAGATAAAAATAAGCTACCTGAATCACTTTTCATTTTCATAGATATCATACAGTTTCTAACTTCCTGTTTTACAACAGTCAGTCAACGTAATTTAAGACTTGATATCCGAATCATTTTCAAAATGAAAATCAGAGGTTTTTGTTTTTTGGCAAATAATGGCTACTAAACTGAGCCACATCTCTCAATAAGAAAAGCGTTTTTTTTACTCAGAGAAATATGTCTTTTTAGATTTCGATGCTATCATGACTTAAAAAACAGTTTGCTTACCAGTATTTGAACCTAAAAGTTATTTTAAAGCAAGTGATAGGTAAAACAGGTCACGGGCGATTCCGCATTCTTCCAGATTAAACCACAATGTTACTAAATAACAGTCAGAATTGTATGAATAGATAATTATATAGGCCTAGGATTATCTGACTTTTGGTTATTTAAACAAAGTTGTTTATACCAAATGTTTAAGAAATAAATTTTCGCGATAAATTTTAATCATATTTTTTTTGGCGTCCAAGATCTTAGAGCCACATAGTGATCTAAATATAATTACGCATAACAATTTTTAGCTCAACATCAGATATTCATACTACTTGAATAATGGAAATTCGACGCAGAGTTCGTGAAAAATCAAATAAAACATCCCATGCAGGCATCAACATAACGACATAACATAGGTACTAATATACGCCCTTCGGCCTTGAATCTCATGCTCTCAGTTCTTGTTCGTTTTTCTTGTATTTTGGTTAATCCAATGATTTTATTTTTTAGCCACTGCAAGTCCTATCATCGATAAACCATGCGAAGGAACCAAAAATGGTGACGTATCAGATCCCAGGAATTGTGCCAGATTTTACAAGTGTAATTATGGTCGAGTGGTGGCCAGGGTCAAATGTCCCAGTAACAGCCATTTTAATGATATTGAACATAAATGTGATTGGAGAGCTAACGTAGAATGTGGAAGTCGTCCTAAATAAACTTCCACTACAACACAAACCATCTGTACCTGCAACAGTATTATCCATAGAACGTCAATATCCAAGAAACGTAGCATTTCTGGATTTATCGCTTCACAAGAAAAGAACTCATTTTCTCATAGAATTTCTGAAAACATAAACATTTTATAGAAAACTTCGGCAACGACCAAAACCCCAAAACTTTGAAATTTTGTAAAATTCATATATTTGAAAATATTTGATGGGTTTTATGCTTTATTTCAGTATTAAATTTGTGTTTTAAAATGGTTTTTTTTCTGACCATTGAAGTCCGTCATCTTTCCTTTGTTTTCTTTGTAAATATTATTTGTAAAATTGCTCATGTTTTGTTCAGTATCTAGACGTGTGTTCATTTTGTAAGTTTTGTTACAAGTGAATAAAATATTTCATTTATATAACAATTCTTCTTCCACTTCTAAAAGGATAGACATCTATTTTAGTTGATGAAGCAACACCACTCATTCTGTTACTAGAAAAACAGACGATCAACAAGACATAACTTCAGCACAAGATGGTATCTATGTATCTAAATCTTTTTCTGATCATCATTAAAGGCAACAATAATAGCCCATCGGTAGGTCACGAAAGGTGTTTCCCCAAGTCGAGGCTGGGGGATTGGGAGCTACCAAAGGCCAGATGGCCTCTGAGCATTTATAGAGGTTAATTGTCACTTCGAAGATATAATACATTTTGTAGGCAATAATACTTTACTAAAATAAAAATTTACGAGGGAGCACGACGTTTGAAGTCTTATACTGAAAATTGACAAGAAAGTGGAAAAAAATGGTAACGACCTTGGCTTTAAATGAACATACAACCGCAAAATCGTCCACATACATCGACAAATAGAATAAGAAAGCTCCTTCTCACGTGTGTAATGAGAAAACTTTATTATCAATTTAACCAATAATGGAAGGATCTTTTGACACTGATCTCCATCCTTTACGCAGCATATCTCTGAGAGTTGTCACAATTTGGGCGTTTTCTGGTCGCGCGACGATGTTGTTGTTTTCCTCCTTGTCGTTGACATGGTCGTACAGCTCGCTACCATAGGAATGGGTAAAATCCGGTTTCTTTGTCCGAGAATCAAATGCAGGCCATTCTGTGTATCGATATCGGTCTGTTCTGATGCTATAACCCATAGCCCTGTGACGAAAGGTTTGGGAAAATGCGGCCTGTTTAATTTGAGATAGTGGATGATGAATAAGAGGAACCATACTCGTTCCTTCAGTACACGTATCCAGATGAGAATGTTCCGGGCAGGTGTGCAGTAACGGAAGGCCAGCCACTTCTACTAAAGTTGGAAACAGGTCTACATGTTCTACCAACTGGTTCGTCACAACGCCGTTATCCGTAAGACCGGGAACACTTATCATCATCGGAGCGTGAACCACATCCTCGAAATTTGTATCTTTAGACCACAGTCCATGTTCTCCAAGAGAAAACCCGTGATCACCGATAAATGAGATAACAGTATTGCTCTCAAGATTGAGTCGTTTAACCTCGGCCAGGATCTCACCAACTAATGAATCCATATAAGCAACGGCACAAATGTACGCCCGTCTTAATTCTCTTACAACATGATGTGGAAGTAGTGTATTGCTTTCTCCTGTTGCATGCAGGGCACTGATATCTCGATATGATCTCAATTCACGATATCTACTCCACGCTATATCGGGCATCCCATGAGGAGGAAATTCATTAGACGGAAGTTGAATGTTGTCTTCAGGAAAATATGACAGAAATTTCTCTGGAAATTCGAAAGGTAAATGTGGCTTATGAAAACCTACAGCAAGGAAGAAGGGTTTTGATCCTGATGACAAAGTCTGCAAGACTTCCTTTGCCGTTTTGGATATAACTTCGTCCACCAGTGGATTGTGGCTTCGTTCAGAGTCGTTTACTGCTTTCCAACTATAATCTAAATTATGTGAAGTTTGACTTGTTCCATCATGGTGATATTTGTTCCAAGATGGAGGATCGTCATTATTAGATGCTTTTCCAGGATGAAATATCTTTCCCATTCCTTCAGTTTGGTAGCCATGTTCTTTGAAATACTGCGGCATGGTAGTAAAGTTGTTTCCTATTGTCCGGAAGTACGTTTGAAGGTCGTAAACTTGAGTTGTATCTGGTCGCCTTCCGGTCAAGAATGAAGTTCTACTGGGAGAGCATAAGGCGTATTGGACATAAGCTCTTTGAAAAAGAATACTTTTCTTAGCTAACTGATCTAAATTGGGTGTATGTGATTGACCCAAATGATATCCCAGGCCTTGATAAACATCTAAATTTGGTCGTAGATCATCGGCAATAAGAAAGAGAACATTTTTCATTGCTCCAAAAACTGAGTTAGAACACATGAATAACACACACCACAGGAGTAACGTCATGGTGTTTTTTGAATTGCGTGTGGGGTGTGGCTTAATGAACCTTATATTTTTGTTTTGACGAGATAAGAACTGTGAATTAACACCAGGCAGCCGAATTACAGATATAAACGATCATATTATATGTTATGCGACAGACAGAAACCATTTTTTTCTATTATTGTGATAATCTTAAGCCTCATTTCAATAATAGCGTATGTATTAGAGCGGCAGGTCATTTTTTAGGGGAATCGTGCAAATACGGATACAAAAATCAAGGTTGGCCAACATGACTCATATCTGTCATATTGGTCAATTAAAAATTCTAATTGGTGGCAAGTTTTCAAGATAGATGTTAAATTAGAAGTTCCCATTTGCATGATGTAGGTGTGGTTTCCTCTGTTTTTTTTTAAGCCTGCTTATGTTGATTATCCAGTTTTAAGAGTATGCCAACACTAATTTTAACCCTGGACGAAATCGAGTTAGAATTGACTGGCTTTTAGGGAGATAAGTTGGATTAATACTAAAAAATTTACAAAGGATGCAACTCAGAACATTGTTTTTTACAAAATACATAAATCAATGTCATCAGATTCATTACATTTAGCACGCGTAATTTTTAAAACCTGGGTGACCTAGCCTCAACGTCTGGTTCGTCCTATCTTGAAGTGTCATCATCAATCTAGAGAGACTTTAACAGGGAAAATCAACAACGCGTGTCTTAACCAGTTATTTGGAATAGTAAATGATTTATTAGATGTTCGTTATTTGTTTTGACGAAGATACCAAAACTCTAATCAACATGTTTAAAAAGAAGGTGTTAACAAGTCAACAGAAATTCTGGAGTTGTTATCTGGGTCAGGCAGCTTTAAGGTCAGCCGAGACCACTCTAGTAAAACAAATACACACCATGATGTCTTATAAATGTGCAACACGTTTCATCGTTATAAAAACACGTCTGGTAAACGGTCAGTTCAGAAATTTATTTTTCTTGACTACCATTATCTGCTAACGTTAGGTTCAATGGCGTTTACAGGAGGGGATGGGGCAAGGGGAGGGGGGCAAAGCCAGGCCAACCTCTTTTTGGGGAATGGGGGGAATGAGAGGCAAAAACGCTAGAAACGCTAGAAACGCCATTGGTAGGTTCTAACAAAGGAATATATTAGCCAGCTGATGAACCAAATGGATCAAACTTGTTACTTGGTAAAGCTTATTTAAACATTTATACACGCTTTTTTTTCTCCTGGTCCACTACCATTCCGCTCTAATGATAACTGATAGTGGGAATCCATACAACCGTTCGCCTTTGAAAAACATACTTGGTATGATAGTAAAGTAGTAATATATGCTTTCCTTACTTAGCTTGCAGATCTATATAACCAGTATTGGTATTTTTTTTAGACTTAATTGGGATAGTCAAGTATGTTACTGAAAAGCCTGTATCTTTACATACATGCAACTCATTTCATTCGACAAATGTTTTCCATTGTCTCCCACTTTATCACACTGCAACTATAATTCTACACTGCATCTAACGCCCACTAAATATACCTATATAAACCAATAGCATTGATTTGAAATTTTAATTCAGATTTGTACAATGTTGACCTTCGTCGTAGCAGCAGCTCTCTTGGGAGTAGCTATAGCCCAGAGTGGTCGCTGTAACTTCAACCAGAACAATGAGACGGTGGGTCGAATCTATATGGTGAAAGGGGATTGTACCTACTACTATCAATGTAACAATGGAAGGGAATATTTGAGAAGACCATGTAAAGACGATGAAATCTACAACCTCTGGATTGGAAAATGTGTTTCTAATACTGAAAATGTCGACTGTGATATTAGTCCCGACTATTATGCCAAATGTAAGTATGAATTGCTTGATTCTAGTTGTATGATTGCCCTCGAATACCACCCATCGCTGGTCATTGCTGAAGATAAAAGTTTGTTCATTCATTCTGAAACACGGGATATCTGATTAAAGAAATTGCTGAAAGATTGTAATTTCGGAAGTTTACGTGAGGATGCGACAGTTTATATAAAAGTATTTTTTCCCAATGCTTCAACGTTGAAAGACCATACCAATTAACCGATGTGTTCCTTTTCATTTCAGACGATCAACTTTGTTCTTCTAAGCTAGATATCGTCGCTGTTCCCTCTGAACCTAGTAAGTTTGTATTGTGCTGGAAGTATCACTTTAGATTCCCACCAATGTCTTGTTCCAATGGTTTGATTTTCAACCAAAAGAAGGGAATCTGTACCCATGCTGACTCGGAAGTGCCATCTGAACAGATAGAGAACAACGTACCAGAACAGAATAATGATAACAGGAAGTTTTACGATGGGTATCGATCTGTATATGAAGCAGATATCATTGGAAACGCAGGTAATACCGTTATTTTTTTTGGTCCGTGCATAAACTTAGAAAGACCTAAACTGTGTTACGAACATGGGTACTTTGCACAGAAAATGACAACCATTCCTAACTGCAATGGGTCCACAGTTCAATGCTTAATTATACTTCTGATTGTTTTAAGTTGCAGGAAAATTCTGATAGTTTGGGTTTTAAGAAAAATTCAAAGCATATCATTGTCCCCGTCGCATTCCCGTGATTGAAACGCTAATATCGAGATACAGACCTTCTTACTTACTAGACCTAACGATTGACCAGTTTCTTGGAGATCCGTCTATGACCGTAACAGATCAGAATACATTGTCTGGCATTTACACTTATTTTCTCTATATATTTCAGCCTGTATCTATCAGCCTGTACCTGGCGATTGTACTAAATATACTTACTGTAGTGGCGGCCCGGAGGTAGTAGGCCAGTGTGCTGAGGGTACAGTCATGTCAAGATCTCGAAAAGGGTGTGTCTACTGCTCAGATTTGACCCCAGCCGAGAAAGCAGAATGCCAGTTACGATGCTAAACAACATAATTCAACACCATGAGTGGTTCTTACAACGATTTTTGCCATATGTCTTTTTATATATTATGTTTCTATTCTATAACGTGTGACCTTCTTTATGTTCTTGAAATGAAAGAAATCATATGATAAAGTAAAATGTTTGTTCCTTAAAACTGCCAATATTTCCATATTGGAACGAAAATCCAAGATTACTAACGGCCCGCTGGTTAGTGAAATTGGGTTAGTAAATGGTGATTTGAACGTGTGAGAGGCCACTCGCTTGTTAAATGATGACAAAACATCTTGGACGCCTTGAAAAGACTCAATATCATCCACTTTCTCACTAAAGCCTAGTGTACTGAAGTGTTGCCAAATGGTCTACCGTGAAAAGACTGCTAAAGCTCTGCTCAGCTTTACGACAACTGCCGAGAATTGCCGAATGTAACAGTGTCATGATGAACTTTCAACTTTATATAGCGTAATGACAAATACACTAGTCACTTGTCCTGTAGTGCTATATAATATGTCAGTCGTTACAGCACACTAACACTAACAATTACAATCCTTCTTATGTACAATATGAACATTGACTATCACCGACACCATATAAAATCTGAGTCACTTGTATACCGTCCCCATACGTCGTTAGAAGATCTGTTCACAACTGCAGTTTTTTGTGGTCAGATTGGTTGCTTGCATTTGATTATTTGGTTAAACACAATGAAAATCAGACAGGGCATCAACCCATTCATGACCCTAACACAAATGTCATTCTTAATTTGTATGACACGATACAGTCCTTTACTAGAAGTTGATGAAAATAAGAGTAACACCTTCTTAATTAACCTCTTTCATACTGGATTTTTTTACTAATTAAACAGTCAAGTTAGAAACATTTTGATTCTCTAGGTAGTAAGATTTGACCTTTAGGGTCAAATGATGCCAGTATGTAAATACATTGGTAGGTTTATTTTATTTGTTTATGATGTAGACAAGTTAAGTATCGTCTTTTAGTCTTCAAGCCATCTGATTTATTTACTGGGCGGCAACATTAATCCTACCAATCTTATATAAAACAACATTTTTAAATCAGAAAGTTTCTAAAACCACAGCTGAGAACGGGGTGTTTTTTTTTTCTACGACATGATTTTATTGCTTGCCACTGCCTTGATATGGGGAACTACTTCCGGTCAAAGTGGTCGTTGTAGTTTCCCGAGACGTCAAGAGACCTCGGGAAGGATCTATATGGATGGAGTGGATTGTACAGAGTATTATCATTGTGATGAGGCTGGGAAGGAACATATTATTAAACCTTGTAAACTAGGAGAGGTGTATAATCCATGGCGGAATACCTGTACACCACCCGACAGTACGGTCAACTGTAAATTAGATCACCAATATTATGATAAGTGTAAGTGTTCCACCAAATAGTTTGTTTCCAAAACGCAATGGTCATGTATCGGCAACTCGGTTAAATATCAGGACAGGTCTTAACACTGTTCTATTTCAGAAGGTTCTTCTCGGTTTCATGTTGATGTTGAACAGGGATAAAGTTATGCATGATTATTTTGCAGAAGGTAGTTTTATGGGAACATCAGGCAGAGAGTGGTTTATTTGTTAGCTTGTGAAAACACAACGAAAATTTTCGCATTCGATCACCTTCGAGAAAGTGGCTCACTGTACTACTGCATTGTAAACGGTTTGGCTTTTGCTTTGTCGTTTCCATGAGGTCTGTTGATTTTAGATGGAAATGTGCTACTACAAGTTACGATTTGCAGTGCATGGTATATATTTCTCTTTAATGTACATATATGGTGTAATATTCTGTAAATTTCGAATAATATATTTCAGTTGACAGACTGTGTAATAATGTTGAAGAAGGTAACCTTCCAATGCCCAGCGATCCCCGTATGTACATCTCCTGTTGGCAGAAGGCTTTCAGGTTCCCGCCAATGGAATGCCCCCATGGTACCATATTTAATGGCATGATGAGTAGATGTGAGCATAGTGATAATCGTCAATATGGGCAGAAAGTTGGTTCACCGCCATCTGGAAATCGCCGTTCAAACAACGTTCCGAGTTACGAAATGCCAACTGAAAATGACAATGTTGATAAGATAAACAATATGCCTGGATATGAAAACAATATGAATTATGGAAATCAACAGCCAACCATGCAGAGTGGAAGGTCCCAGCAAGATGCTGAAACGATACGAAACAATAGAAATCCTGGAGACGTATACCCACAAGTTATCAATGCTCCATCGAATGTTAGAGATTATAATCTCGAGAACATATTGCAGAATGGGGGACAGAACAACAACAGAAACCCAGATCCCCAGGGTGGGAGACTGGATGTACCAACTGTTCCCAGTGACCTCAATCCAGGAGGTGAAGATTTTATTGGTCATAAAGCTGGTGATGCCAAGGATTACATGATGCGAAATAGAATGAATGGTAATAGGATGGAATATCAAGACTCTGTGAAAGAAAGACCCCTTGAGAACAATAGATCAGTAAATAACAAAAACTCTGTTGATCCAACTACCAAAGGAATTGATGATTGTAAGTAGATACAGCTTTCATGGAACAGAGCCTTTATTTCGATATTTATTAAGTTAACTATGAACCTAGCCTCTTGTTGTCGATAGTAATAAGGCATTCGTGATGTACATACCATGACCTTTTTCATTGAGGGATCACTTACACGCCAGAAAGCCCCAAATGGGGTTTGGATGTTGGTAAGTTTATGCTCACTGGTATTATGTATTACGCAGATAAGATTTGTCTAAGTAAAACCTACAATTTGTAATTGAAGATTGTGCTGTGTGTAAATATACTTCGCTCTAGTAATATTACCTTCATGTCATGTTGTAATTTTTCAGATTGTATATTTGATCCTTTTCCTGGTGATTGTAATAAGTTTGTCAGTTGTCAGGACAGAACAGATATCAGGAACTGTGGTAAAGGAACTCTGATGTCTAAATCCCGACATGTCTGTGATTACTGTCAGAATTTAACAGACGATGAGAAGAGATTCTGTCAGGTCCAATGTTAAACTTGTCGCAAAACGATCTTACCTTTTTTCCCTTCAAATCCAACATATTTTGGTTGCTCGAGAAACGGTAAGAAATCACTTACACATGCACAAAAAAAAAACAGAAAAATGAAAGAGCTTTACTTTCACCAGTTTTCTGATAGAAGTTGCTGAAAGTTTGAGGGCACAACATATCGATGTCAAAAATGAGATTTTTTATTTCACTTGTTTCATTTTGTGTATTGTATGTATTATATATATATATATATATATTTGAATTGCTTCTGCCTTATATGACTTTCCGACTTCATTGGGAAAAACATCGAAATTTCATACAGTTTCAAATGGCCGACGAGATATCAGTTTGGTTAAAACAAACTTTGGTGGAACCGCAGACGTGACATAAATGGTATAGGACAGGCGTTTTCAACTTTCTAATACCCCCTTGCATTACGTATTCGAAAGGTTTCAAATAATACTAGACCTGTTAGACACAGATCTGTCAATTACAACGAACGAACGCCCTGCAATTACCGAAAACAATACAGCTTCGAGCTCAACCCGAAAGCCGTATATAACGAAAATAAATACAGCTTCGAGCTCACCTCGAAAACTGTAAATATCGAGTCATTATACAGGCAAACGCCAAAAACGAGGTCACAACTAGGTTAACAACTAGTACTCTCCGTTTTTAATCGACCCTTTAAAACAAATTTAGTTTGATCAACTAGATACATATAGATACAAATAACATCTTAGAAATATTCGTCTGATATAATTTGTGACATTGTTGATGGTAATACTTGCAATATACCAAGTTTTGCTTAAACGGTTCTATCCAATAGTTTACTGCAAGTGCGAGACTTTGATATGTTTGGGCAAATATCACGATTGAGTTATGTAATATTCCTTTATAATATATAATGTAAAACTACTAAACCTGGACCCCTTTGGACACGAACAGTTATAACTACCAGGTTCATTTTGACATTTATATTCACACATCCATTATTGGTTGCACATTCATCTATATCTGTAGAAATAAGAACGGATGGACGGACAATGCCGGACATGCATGTCACCATTGTTAAGCTTCACATCTAATCAGGGCATTTGCCAAAATGATTTAACGATGGGCCACAGTGGTTTTAATTTTTTTTTCTGAAAATTAAAAAAAAAAAATCACGAAAAAAAAAAATAAACTAAAAAAAAAAATAATTGATTGGACAAAAAAAGACAAAAAAAACAGAAACATTTGTAAACTTAATTTATTTCCTTATGAGGGGTTGGCATGTAGGTAGATGACAAGTTAAGGTACGCTTCCAGCAGATTCTCCTAATGAGAACGATTGGCCACCATATATATCGCAAACTAGGTATAGTTCTTGGTAATCGTTCGATTGGTCACACCTGTTAATCTGCCATTTGTCATATTGCATACTCTCAATTGGTGTTGATATATAAAGTGCCAAAGTCTCACCTGCTGAATATTGATCTGGCATCTGTCATTTTGAATACTCAATTTAAAGCGATTTAAATTTGTTAGATAACAGGCACTAGCAATTAACACAATACTTAACGAGCCTTTCGACAAAATCGTTCTTTCTTCCAGAATCAACCTCAAATTAAGTATTAAATATATATATTGTTTTACTAATAGTCCTCAGAACTGTGAGAACTGAAAGGAAATCGCATAATCCTTCCAAAAATATGGAGGTAGAACGTTGCCAAAATTGTCGATTGTTTAGCAGCTTTACAATACCAATGACGTCATTACAAAATGCATTTGTCAATGCTGCAAAGCATTTTGTCGATTTGTGGAAATACAAAATGTATAAGTATTGTCCAAAATCCAATGATATGCCACACGAATGCAGATAACATTTAACACATTTTGGCAACGTTTTACTTCCATACAACAATACCTCAAACTAGGAATTTCACTTTTTATATATTTCATTCACAAGCTTATTCGGAAAATTTGGGTATGTAAATCTTGGTATGTCTATAAGAGAAGACACCAATGACGTCGCTTCACAATGAATATTGATTTATCAAGTTCTTCAAAATTACTTACACGTGGCTAAGAAGGCTCAAATTGCGGCGGCAAGCTGTGAAAACTATTACTGATTAGTTGAACGCAACAAGTCCCGTTTCTGAGACCAAGATACGTTTCATTTACCAGAATATGGCGAATCTGTCGTTTAACTTCCTGTACTTTTGAGATCTATTTTGGAGAAATATTTCTAGTTGATATTTATAGATTTGCACAAATATGTTTACGGTGTTTTATGGGTTCATTGCCATGCAGCTCCAAACTCACACTGTAATTCTTCTATTGTGCTGTTGTTATGTTGAAACTATCCTAAACTATTCAAGAAACGTACCTCTTTATTTCTGCATTACATACTAAAGATGAACATATTCTTGTCATTTTGAAAAAGTACAGAATAGTAGATCTTGACTCTCATTCTATTATCTTGGCGAAGGTACAAACCAGAACGACATGAAACTCATTTTATTATCTTGGCGAATTTTCCACAGGAAGGCCATGACAGACAGATAGAAATAGAGATGGACAGGAAGGCAGACGAACAGAATGGGTGACCTGACATTACAAATAAGGAAAAAAAATTGAAAAATAAGATCTGAGATCTGATATGTCTTGAACATTCTAAAAATTTTCTAACCATTACAGTTTATTACTCAGAAATATAAATCTTCTTTTAGAAAATGACAGCAAGAATATAGTTTCATATCTCCACAGTGTCAATATCTTACTATTATATTTCGGAATTTAGACTATATGCTTGCGTTTTCACAAATCACAGCTGTACAACCGTTGATATATAAAGTGTCAGAGACCCGCCTGCTGATCTGGCATATGTCAATTTGAATACTCTCTATTTTGGTATAGATAGCTATTTTGTTATAAATACTGACTCATTTCATCATTACTTCATACAATAATTTGAATACAGTAATCATGCTTTCAATTCGAGTATTGGGTTTGTTCGCCGTTATTGCGATCGCATTAGTTTTAGTAGAGTCTGAATTTAGTGAAGGTAAGTATAACCTTACGATGAAAATTAGATGTTATTCTGAATGCAAAGAAACTTCGGAATGAAATGGTGTTTTACATCCTAAGATTCGACTTTAATTTGAGATGATGAAGACTGTAGTATGTAGTGAGGGAAATTTACCAGGGCAGTGGCAGTCAAAAATCTTAACTAACAGTCCGAGCGCGTTTAATGAAATTATGTAGGCAGATGGACGTCGAATGCTCAGATCATTTATCGCCAAATTGCGTTATCCGATCTTTCCATCTAAAAAAGTCAAGACTACAAACACACGGAAAACAAATTTCTAATAACGAAACAATCGAAGCTGAAAATGACGTGATAAACATACAATTGGTCAAAATAATAATTATATCGCAGTATTATATCACAGTTCACAGTATTTACCTATTTATTCATTGTTTGCTTTGTTTTTTATCTATTTTTTACTGTATTTCCCATTCACCATGTGATGTTGGGTCGTTCTCATACCTACATTGTAAGCTGATTGTATATTTATTCATTTTAGTTTGTTATGGTGAACTTCCAGCCAATGCGATGTGTTCAGTAGAAAATAACAAAACCAGGCGATGTCAGTGTAAAGAGGGATATGAAATGGACATCATTTGTACATCGAATGGCTCGATATTTTCCTGCCAGGGTAAGGGTTCTATCTGCTTATCTCTATTATCGCTGGGTGGACAAAGGAAGATATTTTTACTTCTTGTTATTTTTTTTATTTTTTTAATGAGTCTGGTCAACTTATCTACAGAAAACCTGGAAATCTTATAGAGTTACAAAATACTAAAAGTTCAGGACAGGGCCTCATTAGTGAAGTGGCAAGGTATTTCTGACCACGCTCAGTTCTGTTTACAGCCCTACTAATCTATCTGCTGTTTACTTCAGATATAGATGAATGTGCAACCAATAATGGATCGTGTGAATTTAAATGTCAAAATGAACCTGGTAGTTATAACTGTTCGTGTCCAGAGGGGTCTGAATTACAGGAAAATGGTTTGAATTGTGAACCAATTAAACCAGGTATAGTAGTTTTACATTATATATTATATAGGAATATTACATAACTCAAGCGTGATATTTGCCCAAACATATCAAAGTCTCGCACTTGCAGTAAACTATTGGATAGAACAAGCAGAATTTGGTATATTGCAAGGTACATTCCGCTTTTATATAAAGAAAAGTATTAGCATCAAAAATGTCGTAAATTATACTTCATCAAATTATATCCATATCTATGGGGCTACACCTTGCTTACACTTGTGACACATGATAGCAGTTGAAAACAAATTGATTTTCACAAAGTCTTTCAATACTTTCTTTTGAAAATTAATCGAAAATATGCTATTACGGTTGCTATTTGTAGGACAGATTTGAAACTTATATTGTGTACACCGCCAGCATGGTGAAATAAAAGTATACATTTACAAATTTTGCATCTCTGCCGGTTTCGAATTAATCACTTCCGGTGGTATCACTTTCATCGGAATTGAGTTATGTCCAAAATATTAGTGTCATTAATACAAACTTTTAAGAAATATGTACAAGAAGTAACATGTTGGCCGCCATTTTGGCTTGCCAATGATATTTGTTGCCTGTCAAAATATTTAGCCTTATATTTCAGGCTACAATTCGTCAGCTATACACTGTTACGATCAACTGTTAACTTATTATAACTTTTTTAAATATATATGTATATATCCCAGTGACGATCTTAAATTGATATTTTAACATTTTTCAGGTCCCTGTATGTTTGAGAATCAAACAGTAACTGGAGTTTCACAAAATTTCAACAGAACTTATATTGGCAATGAAAATGAAACAGAGTGTGAGAAGAAATGTAACACAACCGTGGGATGTACAGATTGGTTGATACTTGATGGACACTGCCAAAATTTCGGTCTTCCAATAATTCAAGTCGAACTAATCCCTGACGGAAGCCCAGAAAAGTGCAAAGACCTTTGTGCTCAGAATAAAAAATGTGTAACTGCCCAATATTTTGTGACGTGTACTCTGTTTGACACGAAACAAACGGAATTTGATGATGGCTGTGATCCAGAGACCGTTTTCCACAAGATTGATATGAATTGTCTTAATTGAATTGTAATAAATGGTTCATGTTATTAAAATGAAATAGAAAATGTTTTATGTTTTTGTTACATGTTTAAATTGAAAATAGGAGTCATAGGAAATTTCAATTTCAACTCCAACATATAAATGCCTTGTGAATATATAGCAGTCTAAAAAATGACGAGTCGTCATTTCAATTTAGTTTAAACACATTTTTTTAATCATTCAAAAGGAAAGGATACAAGTTTCAAGAACTTAGGAAAAATCCTCTCCTGTACACTGTCATTTCAATTGTGGACCAAAATGGGTTTAAGCATGTTCCTTTAGCAACCGTTGCTATCCCATATTCTCGTCAATAATTTTGGTCGAGAATTTTAGTTTTAATTTGATTTTAATTATTGATTTAATTATTTTCATTCAAGTAAATTTTGCGGGAAAGCGTTTGAATAACCAGACACGAAAATTTGAAGAACTAAATTTACTTTCTTTTAAATCTCAAAAGTTCATGATTGAGTTGTTGTCATAGTGCCAACTTTTGATAGTTTTCAGAGCAAGAATGAAAAAATATCAACAATTTTTACGCCTAGTCTTATAATATTCACATTTATTCCAAATGACTTGCGAATCAATGACTTGACAAAGCAAATACGACTACACAAATGAGTTATGCCCCTCTCATTTGCTTTATGGGTGAGCTGGAGCAAATCTAGACTTTGCAAAAACGGGGGTCTAACAACTGATGTAACCCCGGAATTTATAATGGGTGAAGGTGAAGCCCTAGGTGAAGATCCACGAAGCCTGGGATTTGGAGAATGCCTTAAATGTTGGTTATTGCTATGAACAGATAATTTCACATAAAATTCAACATAATTTTTCACTTCAACACATTCGTGGTACATTAATGGCGTTTTTGATAATCAAAATTTTGCAATAAGTAGCCATTAACTGGCTGTTGAATTAAAAGCTACACTATTGCCAAAGCCATGGTTGGAGAGGGGGAGGGGATGTTTATGGTAACTGAACCAGCTGGAAATTTTAGAATCCATGGCATAGTACGTCCTTACTATAGTCAGGCGGACGCTATTTTGTCACTGACCATAAATAAACATTTTAACGTAACTTCCTTAAGTAGCATTTAGTAATTGAGGTATGAATATATGAACACAATTTGATGGATAAGAAATACTTTAATAAATAACTTGCGACGTTTCGACGATGATACTTTCGTCTTTATCAAGCAATGTTATCCATAAAATTGTGTTCATATATTTTAACGTTATTATTTGTTTACTCAATTGACTGTACACAAGGTTAGAACGTTACGAATTTTGAGGTGATATTTCCTAAGAGAATTAATTTCTTGTTCACCAATGGTAAGAAAAAGCACCGGGGTTAAAAGCTAAAGCAATAATACTACGTGAAAAAGAAAACAAATATACTTTTCAGATTTGAATACATTATTTTGCAGGGAGCTAGTCTAACATTAGCGAATACCTTTTGTTCATTTGTTGTTACCGAGACAGATTCAGCTGGCGGAAACTGACGAGAATTGCCGAACCTAAAGGGCACTAAAATACTTTAGTTTGCTATCATCAAGGTTGCCTATTCTTACTTGCTCGATTGCTAGTAGTATTAAACGAGACGTCAAAGGGTGGTATGCCTGCATTATGATGAATATTCAGTACCCTCTTTCTGTATTTAGCGTCTCAATCCAAAAGGTTTCCCTAGCTTAATTTCGTACTTTCATCATCTGACAGGTCAATGGAGAGATCGCCATATTAAACAACCAATAGTTATCAAATAATCTAACCAAACGACTACCGTACGACTACCACTCAACAAGAATTACCCCATCACAACGAGTTTGGGAGAATGAAGAAGCTCGATCATCGTACCGTTGTAAAAGGAACTTGCCGCCATCTGTAAAGGTCTTAATAATTTTCATTTATTAAAGCCATAGTGAGCATGGGCAGTATTAGCTGACATAGGACCTTATTATCTTAAATAAACGCATAATATTGCCCTTGGACGGACTTTGACGACGCTTGGATGAAACATACTGAAAATTGAAAAATCAAAAACTATTTTATATGAGTTATTGACCTCGTTCTTGAAACACTTAAAGGCTCGATTCTTACGGATTTTGACAACACTTGGTGATATTGTTCAGTATCACCCCAAAAACTTAAAAAAAGAAGTTGAATATTTCATACTGGTGATTGTTACTGTATCACCAAATATTTATTTCTAAAATCAAAGGTATCTTATTTTATGTGTTAACCTTTTAGATATTGGGGTTTGGGATCCCTTTAGGGGTTGGAATCTATGGACATGGTTCTATGATTGAGTCACTGAGCCAGAGCACGGCAATATCAAATCACTACAACATAGAAATATAGGCTATATACCAAAATACCTAGGAATACTTATTAGTTACCTGAATTCTCTAAAAGGGGTTTCCTAGGGTGACTTATACAGTCGTAGAGTGCATCCGTGGTGCTATAAGGGAGAGTAGGCCCTGCTTCGCTTCGCCACTGTATACTGTATGAATTTTGAAACAATGTCATACAACGATGTTATATTAGAAGACTGTTACCACCAACCCTAAAAGTGAAACAAAAATCAACAGAAATAATCTCAGATGGCTAACTACTGAAGTTAGAAAGCTAGACGATTACGTAATGCCTAATCGTCTAAGCTTTTACACTCATGATATAATTCTAGAGTAATGAAATATTCAAAATGTCCATTTGTTTTAATCTGACCTCAACAAGAAGATCAGCGACTAGTCAGGTTTTCACCGGAAGCTCGCAGATATAATCGGCGAATACAAATACGAAGTAGAATCCTCTTGAAATCTTCTAGTCGTGTTCAGCATTTCTTCATCCCTTGCGACATGATCGTCAAGGCACAACTTCTTTCTAGTTGGCAAACAATCGCGATTGTTTAAACACAGAGTCATATAAATTCAAACACGCTTCTCAAAACGACAGCATTTTACATTTCTACATTAGCACGTAGGGTCTTTTAGTTCCTATTACCATGGCAAGGAATATCCTTGCGAGTTTAGCTGGCTTTTTAGCCATTGCGTCGTGTATTTTGGCGGCGGACTACTACTACGACGAAGTTATCTGTCAGAATGTACAGCCCGGTTTGTGGGCTAGAGATGACCGTGATTGTATGGTAGCACATCAGTGTGGCTTTGATGGTGAAGTGGTTCAGTCGATACGCTGTAATGCCAGTCAAGTGTGGTCGAAATTAGCCTCAGCTTGTGTCTGGGAGTGGGATCCTGACAGGGATGATTGTAATGGATCACCACAAGTACCTCTTCCAAGTAAGTTATATTTCGATTAGTTTTCATTTCTTGTTCTCAGCCTAGCTCACTAGTAAAGTGATGGATACTCGCGGCATCGAGAACATCTGAAGAACCACTGACGATATACACCACAGATAGGCCTCCCGAACAAATACTGTATACTATCGAAACAATTCACGATGAAGTATTCACCATTTCCCTTTGCTTGTGAAAAAAGGGGAGTACGAGGGTTGGAAACCAGAGATGATTAAATCTATGTCTACCACAGGATGTGCTTTACCTAACGACAAGACTCTTGAGGCGTATTTTAATGATAGTCAAAAGAAAATACCCAAAAAATTATGGACATTTACCAGTACTCATTTCACCAATGATAAGACGGTTGGACATATAGATATAAGCTTACTATTTCTGAATTTACCTACACCTTTACCTTTCCTTATATACATCAGTATATCGAGTTATCGGCATCAGATTCAGATTAACCGGAATAGATAGCTTTGTAACTTTAAGAGTGCGTGTTAGCTGATGTTAGAAACCACAGAAAAATTTATTCTGATGGAAAATTTATCAAGTAAAGCATTTCTAAATAAAAGGCTTATCTTTTTCCAGATGACATCAGATGTATCAACCCCACTGGTAACAACCCAGATCCTAACGACTGTTCACGATTTGTTTCTTGTACCAATGGTACATTGATCGCCATTCAGAGATGCGGAGATGGTACTTTATACTATCCGAGAAATAACTCATGTGAATTTGCACAACATGTTGTAAATGAATGTGGTAGCAGAGCACTTCCAGAGTCGGTTGTTATTCGTAAGTATAAGCAATTCTTTTCTTCAGTTTAATTAAAATTAGACCAGACGTTAGTGCTCTATTGAAAATTAAAACTAGTAAAACTGTTTTACGGTAAAGAATCTTAAGTATTTTCAGTCCCGTGACCAGACTTGATTGTTCGAAGGGGCAAGCAATATATCCAGTGGGGCAATGGTGCCGTGTGTGATGTTTAGTTGCAGTTAAAAGGGGGAACCCGGTGGCGGAGCCAGGTTTGCGTCCGAGAGGGGGCGAGATATCTGAGATTGACCGAATTTCTAACCTAGTTATGAGATTTTTGCCTGAAAAACTTGCTTTCGGGGCTGCGAGGGGGGCGACTATCCCCACTATTCCCCCTTTTGCTCCGCCACTGGGGCATTCTATATTTTTTCGAGGTGGGGGGGGGGGGGGGGCATTGCCCCCTGTAGTTACGGGCCTGGGTATATTTGGCGTAAAACTGTCGATTTGGGAGTAAAACTGAAATATTTAACATGTTAAATATCGTATTGCAGGTGAAGACGACCCAATCTGTACTCACGAAGGTCAAGTACCAGATCCCGAGAGCTGTATTCATTTCATTTTATGTCAGAATGGACGACGAACCCAGAAAATTCAGTGTCCCCATGGAACCGCTTTCGCCAGCCACAGTGGACAATGTGAATGGAAGAGCGAAGTTGATTGTGGATCCAGGATTATGAAATAGAGGACGATCTGCACTTTTAGACTTTCTACGATCTCAGAGATTTCCATCTCTCCATGTTGTCAGCCGTGTTAATATGATAATATCCTAGGTGACATATTAACATTGGTTTTATTTTTTCTGCCCTGTTCACTTTGTTTATCTTTTATATTTTCATATTTGCTTTTCATTTTAAATGCATTATCAAGTTCATTTTACTTGTATTTTTTTCAATAATTTACTTCATCAATATTTGTCTCATTTTTCAGTTTGATTTTCCAATCCCTCTCTTCTATTTTTCTAAAATCAGCCATTTCAACATTATTATTTTTCCAAACCCTTATCCTTTTTATCAATTGTAGTCCAATATTTTGTGATTTTACAGGAGAGTACTTTTGCTAGTCATATTTGTGTTTCGAGTAACGTAGGTTTACCACGATAGCTGCGTTATTTTCTCAATTTTTGCCCTGTGTGTATAATGAAGACTTATTTTATTAGCAATGAGCCTTCATTTGTTTGCTCTTTGTTGTTTGAAAAATAAAGGTGAAAACCTCTACTTGTTTACTTCTGGGCCATGAAATGAAGGGATTATGGGTTTTAAAATTCTCAACGCTTACATCAACTCAGTTTAAGTGGGAAACTGCTTGAAAATTGATATTGCAGGCATCCTGTAGCAGTGATTGGCGTACAAGTTCGCTCTTGTTCCCGAAATCGTAACTAATTTGAAAATTGAAATTAATCTATATTTGAAAACTACACTAATATAACATTTATAATCGATATCAGTGATTGATCAATCAGATGACTAGAACACTAAAATCATCTTCAATTTCGAGCATAAGGACACTCTATCAAATCGCTACATTTACAAACTCCCGTAACACTAAAAGGTGCCTATTGTAGTCAAGGTATAAAACGACATTCGCAATGACTTGATTTTGAGACGGTGGAAATACAGCAGCGAAAATAAAAGACATAACCGATATCCCTCGTTATGGCTAATCTGCTCAGCAAAAGTATCAGAACAGCAGGTTTTGTTCCAATTATTAGCCTTATATAAGGGAATTTGCCCGTGGGAGGCAGTATAGAGGCTTTGTGGAAGGAACAACTTTTATTGATTGTGGACTAACATGATGTAAGAATTCAGACCTGAGCCCCTCTTAAAAATTACCATTGTATCAAATCTGCTATGATGGCATGCAATTTTAAGCTGAGTCGCTAGTTTATCACGTGACTTCGTTCATTGGGTTACATTCTAGCAGACAATTGAAATTTGGATTACAGCTTGGGAATATATGAAAATTCGGCCGATTAAAAATTGTGATATTTGGTGATGCACGAAAAATAGGTTAGCACGAAATTAGGTTACTTGACTGTATGTAATAGGTTTTTCTACATCAGTGAATGGCCCAACGCCCAAACTCCCTCCTATAGATATTTTCGACAAATGTGGCCATTTTTATGTAATAACCCCTGTCAAACAATACAAACCAAGAATTCAAAAACAAATAAAAAGATTTAAATATTGTCTACTAAAATTGTAGGATTATTACCCCCCTTAATCCACTCTTCAATTAAAGGAGAGAAAGGTGTACCGATATATGAAAATAAATAACAAGTTTCAAAATATTGGCAATTTTGTACATTTTGATTCAAGTTGGCATCGAATTCTTAGTAAAGTTTGTCAAAGAAATTCCAAATATTATTTTACATCACTTAGAAATAGACTTAGCATGTTGTCATACCTCATTTAATACTGGAAAGCAGGAAGTTGAACCCGAAAAGCAGTACTGTACAATTGAAGGGAGGGAACTCTTATAATTGTTTCAGACCACAGCTAATACTATGGATTTTGAAGATTCTGATGAGGGTGACGAAGACTGGAGTAAACCAGTAAACGACGGAGATGGCTCATTTTGCAGTAATACTAGAAATTCTCCAAAAGTATCAGGTATTGATAATTAGAAATAAACAGTTAAATAAATTATTTTCGTATGAAATGCATTGAAATATCAAATACAAAATAGGCCTACTACTCTTGGATTGCCTTCAGTTGATGAAAATGTTAATCATTGGAAAAGTTATCAATTGTAAATGATTTTACAGAAGGGGAATTCTCAGTCCAAAAAGTTTCTCATTTTCACATAAATTCTCAGGGAGGTAAGTGTGTCTATTTCAAATGTAAAATCAATGCAACTTCAATTTCTATAGACCCGAAAAAGACAGAATGACAAATGCCATACATTTGAAAATTTAATTATGAATATTTATGAAACGAGAGATAAGATTCATTTTAAAGCTCAATGTAGTTAGAGAGTAAAGTATAATGTTAGTATAAGATAGGGATTGCAAAGTGGTTTTCCTGATTTTTATGTCTATGGGGACATACAATTTCAATTTTTAGTAAGATGTCCACATGAATAATTTTGTATTCTTCAGATTTAAACTTTCCCAAGAAAATTTCAACTGACATTGAACATCCCAGAACTATCATTCATATTGATATGGACTGTTTTTATGCTCAAGTTGAAATGATTAGAAATCCAAGTTTAAGACATGTGCCTTTAGGTAAGTGCTTTTAAGTCACAAACTTCATTGTGAGATTTCTAGTTAAAGAAAACAATATAATCTTTTTAAGCAACTAGAAAGATATTGTTTGACATTATAAGATATCACTTTTGTTGTCATACCCAAAAAAGACCTAAGATTACATGATGCTGTCTTAAAACGTGTAGCCTGCCTAATTATATTACAATTTTTATGTTCACTTATCTTGTGGACCTTATATATATGAGTAGTATTATGACTGATTGATATTTGCAGGTATACAACAGAAGCATATTATAGTAACATGTAATTACCCAGCTAGAGCAATAGGTGTCACCAAACTCATGACAATTAAAGATGCCAAAACTAAATGTCCATCTTTGATAATGGTATCAGGTGAAGATTTAACTGAATATAGAAAAATGTCTTATAAAATATCAGGTGATTACTTTATTATTTTTCAGTCAAGGTTAATTCTTCTGCCAAATTTCTCCTCATTGTAAGACTGTTCAGAATGCTGGATTTGATAAAAAAAAAACAAAAAAAACAGTAATTTAACAAAGATGTAGGCCCTAGATATATCATGAAACAAAGTAGGCTTTTATAGTTTCAAATATAAGATATTTTACCCTCCTTTACTTTACTTTAAAACAATAAATATCAGATTTTAACTCCTGTGAAACTTCTTATATCAAAAAGTCTATATTTTCAGAATATCTCTTGAAATATACGAAGAAAATTGAACGTTTAGGATTTGATGAAAATTTTCTGGATGTTAGTGAACTTGTTAATTCAAGGGTTAGTAAAGAATCTCCAAGTCAGTTCAGCGGACATTTATATGGAATACAAGACAATAAGGCAGACCTATCAGGTAACTCTAGACTTTCAATTCTAGCAAAGCTTTACAATGACATCATAATAGGTCTAGAACTTTAAACCATAGCTGGATATAATTAAGCAAATAACACCCCTAATTTAACAAATGAGATATCCCAGTGATACATAAATAGTTTCGTATTGAATGAAAAAATGCATGTGTGGAAAAGTTTAATAAATTGTTGAGGGATGTCGAATAGAAGACTGCCATATTATATCCAGCATTGCTTTTAACAAATATCAATGTTCAATTACAAAGAATGTGAAAAGTAAAAGATTTAACCCTGCAGTGTAGGATTCCACAATAGCATCATCTAGTTGAACGTAATGCACAGAAAAATACTGTCAGATCTGGATTGAGTGAAGTAGTTCAAAGGAAAGAAGTTCAAAAATACTAATGATTGTTTTTAATGAATTATGATTTCAGGTTTAAAGCAGTGTGGTTGTGGTTGCTATCAAAGAATAATGCTAGCATCTAATATAGCTCAAGAAATAAGAGATGGTTTATACAATGATTTAGGTATAACATGTTGTGCTGGCATCTCATATAATAAACTATTGGCTAAACTAGCTGGAGAGAAACATAAACCTAATAAACAGACCACACTGTTACCTGAATTTACTCTACAATTACTACATTCCCTACCTAGTACTAGAAATATACCAGGTAGGGTACTGCTTTAATTAATTCATTTATTTAGTCTGAAAAATCAATGAAATGAATGGAGTTTTTACTTTTCAACGTGTGGGCTAATGAATACGGGCAACGCCATGCAGGGTGCAATGAGGTAGAGGCATTAGTTATTTTCAAACTGTTGACGGATCTTTAACCTACACAGCCTGTAGCCTAGGTGCTTAGATCTATTATCGAAACGACTAGACACTTTTTCAGCCCCTCTTACCCATATCACTGACAGGTTGAAAAATCAGGTATTATTCTTCTCAGGTTGAACAAAATGTGCCGGAGCAATTTATATGATTTGCAAAATTTTTTTATTCAAAATGCTGTTCAATAATATTTTCAACAAGTTAAATCATAGATAACATGTTATTTTCTACAGACATATTGCCAATATGTTGTTTTGGATTCTGGTTTTATTTTGCAGTTCAGATCGTTAGTGCATGGTTCATTTATTATACTTGGTATAGAACCACTGTTGTTTTTTTGGAAAGACAGTGGCATGATATGTACCCCATGTTTCTTTAAAAAACGGACATTAAAAAGTAATGGATGCAAATGGACTTGGTGTTTTTTATACCATAGTATTTCAATGATACATAGTGTTTCTCTATAATATATTTTTTAATTAATATAGAAAAATTCATATTTCAGGTATAGGATATGGTATGAGTAAAAGATTAAGAATATTAGATATAGACAGTGTTTTAGATCTTTATAATTATAGTCAAGATATATTAATTATATTTCAGGTATAGGATATGGTATGAGTAAAAGATTAAGAGTATTAGATATAGACAGTGTTTTAGATCTTTATAATTATAATCAAGAGAAACTAATTACAGAATTTGGACAACAAACAGCTAAATTTCTCAAAGATATATCAGCTGGTATTGACCATACACCTGTTGTTAGATATGGTCTTCCACAGGTCTGGGCTTTGATAATTTTTTAAACCTTAAATTCCACTTTAACTTTTATTACCTTGTGATACAGATTGTTAGAGAACTGTATTCCTAAAATTTCCAGAGGAAATTATTAAGGACTTTGCCAGTATGGAATCTGGATCCCAAGTTTGCAGCCCAAGTTATTTAGTTAGGATAGGTCTTCATTGTCCATATCATCTGGTAATTGATGTGCCAGTCTCTAAATATAGTTCTGTAATTTTTTGCAGTCTATATCTGATGAAGATTCTTACCGAGATTTAAATAATATCAAAGATATAGAGAAAGAGATTGATATATTGGTGGATAATGTTTTAAAAAGGTAGGAAGGAAACTTTCAAATTTTATAAGTTACAGTTTTTGGAAATATAGAGCTAAACATATCCAAACATAGTACTTCACAGAAGGAAAATCCAACACTTTAGTCATCTACAATAAAGACAAAATGACCCGCTATGAGGTACAGTGGGGAAAATTCAGATGGTAGCAATTTTTCTTATTATTGAATGCAAGCTTTGGCCAATTCTGACCAAATTTCTGTTGCAGGGTAGTAGAAGATGGCCGTAATCCTCAGACATTACGTGTTACAATAAGAAAATCTATATTAAAAGATGATAAACTAGTGATAGACTATGGTAATAGAGAATCTAGACAGTGTCCTTTATCTCAAACTATCTTTAATAATAAAGGTATGTTACATGGGTATTATTAATAAATACTTATAAGGAATAGCAGGAAGTTCTGAAGGCTTTTGATTTGTATCAAGACACTTTTAACTTTTAACTCCATGTCTATGTTTTCATTAATAGAAGAAAAATTTGACCAGATTATTACTACTTTTTTGCAAGTAAAATTCGAGACCCAATAATATTTTTTTTTGTACTGATCAAAAATTTTCCCAATTATCGAGTTAGATAAGTCAGGTTAATATAATTTCTTATCCTGGAGAAAATCTTTAAAAATCTGCCATCGCAAATAATATGGTTAAATATTTTCACAAATATAAATTGTACATCAACATACAGACTATTTTGTGTCATAGAAATTACATGTAAATTATACAGCCCATTATTATTTTTCTACTTCAGATACAAGTACATGGAAGACACCAATAGTAGAACTTGCTATTAGCTTATTGAACAAGATGGTGGACGTCACAAAACCATTTCATCTTACATTAATTAACATCTGTTTTACTAAATTCTTAAAAACATGTTCCAAAGATATCTCTACATTCTTTTCTTCACCTAATTCTAAACCTACTAATTCTGAAAATGATGAATTTTTCACCCAAAGAACTAGTTCTAGTACTAAGATATCACCAGCAAAAGGAATTGAAAGTTTTTTTGCCAACAATCCAACCCTTAATTTTCACAAAGAGAAAAGAGATATCAAAGCTGTAGGAAGGCAAAATGGTATGGTGGGTTTTTTCAAAAATGGTGGGAAAAGGAAAGAAAGTGAAAGTAACAAAAACAATGATGATTCCAAGCGTGCGAAGTTGGATACCATATTTCTGTTGACGCATCAAAGCCACCAATTCTTGATTCATCAAAATTACAAGATTTAAATATTGATTTGGAGGTGTTCAAACAATTACCACCAGATATTCAGAAAGAAATTTTGAACACTCAGAATACTTCAAAGGCATCTCAAAATCCGGTGAATGTGATAAATAAAGCTACTTCTAATTTAGAGACCAAAATTAAGTCGAAAGTTGGAATAGCCAGTTTCTTTGATAGATTCCCCACATCACAGACAGTGAAGGCAACACAGCAAGACACTACATCATTACATTGTGATACATTATCATCACAATGTACATTATCATTACCCCAAAAACCTGAGCCAACATTGCCAAGTGATGAACCTTCATTATCAAAAGAATTTGACTCATTAGGGCAAAGTGAACCATTTTCAGAACATTGTCAACCAGAATCTATGGAATATTTTCTGTCTACAGAACAATCGTCATCACAGAAGGCAGAGTCTCTCAGGCTGTATGAATCATCATCAACATTGCAGCAAAAGGCAGAGATTTCTAGGCTGTATGCATCATCATCATCATCGAAGAAAAATGTTTCTCCTCTTCAGAATGAACTAGAGAATCATCAACAGGGGGCCGAAACTATCCAAATTCCTCCCAACATTGATCACAGTGTGTTTGTGACTTTACCTCCAGAAATTCAAAATGAACTGATATCAGAATGGAAGGCTTCTAAAGATCATAATATTGCCGTGAATAAAAAGCCTAAAGCTAATACTTGTATTTTAGAATATTTTAATAAAAAGTAACAAAAATAACAAGTAATTGTAATTCATTTTCTTTTTCTGCCTTACTATTACATTAACCAAATCTGAATTTCAAATTTCCGTGCCTTTCTTGGATTTGAATGAAGCTGCACTTTGGAAAATGTTAAAATGGGTAAAGAAAACAATGATCAGACATCAAATTTATTTTGATCAAATAAACAGAAAAGTAGGACGTAAAACTCCATTCATTTCATTTCATTTGATCAAATAATTTATAAATATATGAATTATCACAAAAAGCAACACATTAGCACTGTTTAAACCATTTTTCTTTTCAATATTTGTACACGTTTTTTATAATCTGGAAACAGAAAAAAGAAGTATTTTATTGAATGCTTCAAGGTTAACTTAATTGTATATGCCACAGCCACACTGATATTCAAATGATGTGATCTTTAAATATGATCTGCATCCTGGAATTTCTCTCAATGCAGGCAGACTTAACAGTCAGCATTTTCGGGGATTGATGTGGGTCTTTAGTGTGCTTTAATAGTCTTAAGAAGTACTAAAACACACGAAAATCGCACAATCCTTTCAAATATACCTCGAACTAGAAATTTCACTCTCTATTTCTATATATTTGTTTTCTATATATGGCATAGTCGAATTTTTAACTTTCAAACGTGAATAATTATGGATACACATGGATTTGAAGGCTCAAATTTACACGATGAGCTGTACACACTATTACTGATTATGTAAGTTTAAAAAATTCCTGTTTCTGAAACGAAGCTACGATTGGTGATATGATAGTGAAGGTGTTGCTTTAAAGCCTTCAATATTGTAATAAGGTAGATCAGAAATATAATGTAAACTTGGCCACATAAAAACTCATCAAGAAAAGCAATGTGTATGGAAAAAGAAGTTCTGCTTACCCTAACTGTCCACCAGTCAATGTAAAATATTTATTATAATCTAAACGTAATAATAACTGAGCTAGATGTGGACTAGCATTGTGATTCTTTACACTCGACAGTATTTTAAATAATAAATTAAACTGACGCTGGAATTTCTGAAAAATATAACATACATTTGTGGTTATATTTAAAGAACCAATGTTTCTTCAATATATTCAGCCATACCTTATATCATTAAAGGGATTGTAAAGAGGTTTTCTAAATTTTTCATGTGTATCGGGGACACTGATAGCATCAATGTGCACCATTCCAATTATCAATCAGATGTCTGTGGTTCATGCAATTTCACTAAAACTATGTTTTATGATCAGTTATCACATAAGGCACTTTGGATTAGTGACATTATAAAACACTAAGTTTTAGTGAAATTGCAAGAATCATTGCTTTATCTGTCAACTGTTGTAATAAAGTAACTGTAAACTTACCTGTGCTATATCTGTCAACTGTTGTAGTTGTTGTAATAAAGTAAATGTAAACTAACCTGTGCTATATCTGTCAACTGTTGTAGTTGTTGTAATAAAGTAAATGTAAACTAACCTGTGCTATATCTGTCAACTGTTGTAGTTGTTGTAATAAAGTAAATGTAAACTAACCTGTGCTATATCTGTCAACTGTTGTAGTTGTTGTAATAAAGTAAATGTAAACTAACCTGTGCTATATCTGTCAACTGTTGTAGTTGTTGTAATAAAGTAAATGTAAACTAACCTGTGCTATATCTGTCAACTGTTGTAGTTGTTGTAATAAAGTAAATGTAAACTAACCTGTGCTATATCTGTCAACTGTTGTAGTTGTTGTAATAAAGTAAATGTAAACTAACCTGTGCTATATCTGTCACCTGTTGTAGTTGTTGTAATAAAGTAAATGTAAACTTACCTGTGCTATATCTGTCAACTGTTGTAATTTGTTGTAATAAAGTAAATGTAAACTAACCTGGGCTATATCTGTCAACTGTTGTAGTTGTTGTGGTAATAATGGAGTAGATGAATTATGTATTAATCTACAGTAAGAAGTGCATTGATCTAATATCTCTCGTAGACAATGGGACACCTAGAGATATCAAATAAATAAATATAGAAATTGATGTATTTTGTTGTGCACTAAGCATCCACATGCACTGTACAGTTTAGCAAACTGAATATACTAAAGAGTTGTTTAATGATATAGTAACCTTATACAAAAACACAAGGCACCAATCACCTCTTGCCAGTTTATAGAATCACCAGGCACCAGTTTAAAAATTCTGGCATACATTCAAAAGAGTTCTCTCTGTTATATTATTGCCTGCTTCTAAGAACACAAGACATCTTTGAACTCTGGTACATATTCCAAGGAATGGTCTACTATTTGTTGAACATATTTCCTAGTTTTTTGAAAATGTTATACAGATAATAATTACTTACAGATTTCATATGAACAAAACTCTGAGCTAATAAAGCGGATAGGAAATTCTCATGGGCTACTTTCACAGCCTCAAAATCTCTAGTAGAGTTTATTTTATCTAATAATATACCATACTGAGATTCTATAACATCTACCTGAAAATAGAAAATAAAATAGTTTAAACTGACAGTTTTAACAAAATGAAGCATTTACTTCTTTGATGCCTTAATTCATCCTATATTGTGTTCCTCAAAAGCAATATTAGGCTCATATACTACAACAGATATTGCAGTCACAAATGTCAGTTTAAAGCTGTATTTGCATTAAAAAAGGGTAAACTAACAGAGTAACGGTGTTGTGCTTTTTGGCATAAATAGACATTTATAAACAAACAAATACAGTATAATCAAGTTAATAATGTCAAAATGAACAGTAACTGACCTGTAAGTAATATTGTAAATTATCAACCAGGAAACCCATGTGAGTACGTAGTTGTAATTTAGCCATTTCCTCTTTCTGTGTAGGTTTTTCTTTATGAACCATCTGTAGTGTCCAACATGATTGTATATCTAACTGGGCTCGTTTTACAGCTAATAGAAAGCGAAACACTCTATCATATCTAGAAAATAATATTTATATAAATAACTTCTATAAGAGTATGAAAATATATTGACATTTGAACATTGTTCTCTATACAGATTATACTTCATGATATAGGCATTGAGATCAAATTAAACTGCACTTCTGCAGGTTAACAGTATAGTTTGGGGGCATTGTATACAATTTTTTAGTACAACATCCGAAGGACTATCACAGACTGTCTGTGTGACAGTCCATCAGGATTCTCCTCGAATTCGATGAATTTTTATGCCTGAAACACTACCTTTCTAACATAGCTGGTGTAAATAGAATGTGTAACGGCCACTGAACAGAATGTTGTAATCCTAAACAGTTCCATCCTGATTCTACAGCAGAACTTGATTCAGTTGAACCAGTCTCTGAAACAAAAACAGTCTGGAGTCTAGGCAAAATAAAGGCTTTTGTTAGACACCTTCAGGGTCGATTAAAATAAATTGTTTTGTGCTTTCATTAGGTAACAATTTAAAATATTCTTCAACATAATGGAACATTATTACCTGTCATAAACTAGTTGACAAATGCAGCTATTGGCTGTAACTGAAAAATGGGAGCTTTTCTATTCTGAACCAAAAAGATCAATGTGTTTACATCTTTTTAGCACCTTGTTGGACTAATGAAAGCATAATAGTGTTTACTTACTTAATGTAATGGTTAAAGTAAAGGTCTGTAGTAGAGACTCATCTTGCATCAGAACATTTCTAGAGGCTTGTTGAAATGCCAAATTAATATCTAAAATAAATAGAACAATTTTGAGACAGTTATTCCACAGTTCTTTAGGTTATTTTCTAAATCTTCCTACATCAATGCAAAGGGACTGTTTTGACCAATGATAAGACCAATCTTGAATATGGTTGACAATGTTTTAGAAAAGTAAGAGATCTATCTACAATTACTATATACTGGTACTACATGTACATGCTCATGATCAGTTACTAAGTTTCAGACACTCAGAAGGAACTATTCAAGCCTGTGAGAACCTGAAGATAAGTTATCAAAGGGCCCAACACATTCTAACAGAGTTCCACCACCTACCATGTTGTGTGGTAGAAGTAGCAGTAGATGATAGTAAATGTTGAGCTTGGTCTATAAAAGCTAGGTACAGTTCACCACGACCCAAAAGAAAGAAATCCTTAATAATCTTCAACTGGTTCCTCAAGTCAGATTCTTCTACTATTAATACCCAAAGATGCTGAAAAGGAACCAAATCAAAATCGATGTCAATTTGGTGGTACTGGATGAGAGCTCATACTAAATTTACTGGTACTGGATGGGAGTTCATACTAAATTTACTGGTACTGGATGAAAGCTCATACTAAATTTACTGGTACTGGATGGGAGCTCATACTAAATTTACTGGTACTGGATGAGAGCTCATACTAAATTTACTGGTACTGGATGGGAGCTCATACTTAATTTGGTGGTACTGGATGGGAGCCCATACTCAATTTACTGGTACTGGATGGGAGTTAATACTCAATTTACTGGTACTGGATGGGAGCCAATACTCAATTTACTGGTACTGGATGGGAGTTAATACTCAATTTGTTGGTACTGGATGGGAATTTATACTCAATTTGTTGGTACTGGATGGGAGTTAATACTCAATTTGGTGTACTGGATGGGAGCTCATACTCAATTTGGTGGTACTGGATGGGAACTCATACTCAATTTGTTGGTACTGGATGGGAGTTAATATTCAATTTGGTGTACTGGATGGGAGCTCATACTCAATTTGGTGGTACTGGATGGGAGTTAATACTTAATTTGGTTGTACTGGATGTGAGCTAAAATTCAACAGTAGTGGCTATAGTAATATTAATTGTTAAATACCTCTGCTACATAGGTTCTTATTTTATCTATAATCTTTTCAAATGCCATCAGATTAAATTCCTCTCTCTTGGACAGTTCATGAAGATCTTTAGTAAACTCATCTATTCTGTTCTTTAATATTGGTTCTAGAATTGGAAATAAGCTGATGAGATGATTTCATTGGTACATCTATTATTTTTTTTATGGACAACTCCACTTTAAATATTAGTTATGAGAGCAATCTAACTTAATGTGTTTCAATCAAAACAACCCAAAACTGTTTAATTTAAATGCAATCTTACTTGTAATGTTTTGTGATATATATGTGCAGATAATCTATGAAAAACCATGAGGTTTGGCCCAAGTTCACAAAATCAAAACAAAATCAAAACAAAATCAAATAAAAAAAAAATAGATCTTTCTGCTTATGGTGCTGAATTTTTTAACTGATGCAGGCATTAGTTTTTACGATTCTAAACTTTCTGATATTAAACAGAATGATTCCATATTATACCTGAGGAGTAATTTTTTGACGTCTGTTTTTCATTTTCAAACATCTGTATGGATTCACCAACAAACAGAATCTTGGAAGCCACTCTGATAGGAATATAACCTGGTAATAGATTAGCTTGGATTCCAAATAAATGTTCTTTTGTTGGTATATGTTTTGGTGTAGAAATATCTAAAGCTCTCTGTAATAAATACATTTTAAAATTGGAATCATACTGTCATTTTGTAACATTGGGTATGAAAATATTAGCAGAATCACTTTTAAAGATGATATACTTTTGCTAGCTGTTCTTATTCACCTCAGTCCAAATATAAAATGTTAAAACACATGTTCAACTGTTCTGAATAGGAATTAATGTACAAAACAAATGTCACCTTCATAAGATGAGCTTTTGTAAAATCATTTATTAGCACCGCTGTCATTTTGTGACTTTTATGGACATATCTGGCTAATAAAGATAAATACATAGTCAATCATATATTATAAATTGTGACAGAGGGTACTGTAATAAATGGACTTTTTACCACAGCAGGAACTGGATTAAGAAACTGTACATTATCAAAAGATGTGTTCCTACATTACAAAATTCCTTTAAAAGAAGAAACAAGTACCTGCATCTGTCTACCTGTAATACCCATAATACCATAGTCATCATCCCCTGTATCAGTAGATTTAGTCAATGATAGGTTCTGAGATTCACCATCTATCTTCTGTATAAAGAATTCATTATAAGAATCAAGTAGTGTACCATGTAATAACCAGGCACATAGTTGTTTATATAATACCTTGTGACAATCATGTAGAATCCTGTAAAACAAAAATTTAAAATTAAGTTCATGTATTACTATTTACTATTACTAGAGACACCACTGATTGATTTCAAAAATGCATGTTTAGATATGCAAGTGGGTTTTTCAACTTTACATTCTTTTCTTCATTGTTAATAAGGTTTATAAAAGGTTTATTTGGTACATCTTTATGGCATGTTACATGCCAAATCTTTTATAATTAAAATAATCTTACCTTTTAAAAGTCTGTTTTACTGTTGGTAGACCACAGATAGAAGCACGGTGTAAAATATCTAGAATATAACAACCATGTGCCTGCAATAAATAAATTATAAGATATATAAATAACCTACTTCCAGTTATGAACTTCACTGCTCACCAAGATTGTGGACTCTCAAAAAAGACAATGTTGTCAATGTAACTTTCAAATACAGATAATAATGGGATAAACAGGGATAAAAAGGCCTGTGAGCACTATTACTGATTTGAAAATTCCTGTTTCTGAGATACAATTTTTCACACAGATCAGATAGTCCACATGCTCCCTTAAAAAATCCTACAAGAACATACCTTATGAGATTTTATCTGTTCTATAACTAATGCTATCTCAGGAAAAAGTAACTGAAACTGGAAAGTATAGATTAGCACGTTAAAAAGGAAATCAAAAATCTCAAATTAAAGAAAGTTTGCATCCACTTATGGCAAAAATGACGAAAAAAATTCATAGGTTAACCATACAAAAGGATTGAATAAAAATCCATAAGCATTTCATCAATCTTTTATCAACTGTGATGAAGCCAAAAGCTGCATGTTCCAGACATACTGCCAGTTCCAACAATATTATATTATTCTAAAACTGAGAAGATATATATATGGAATCTGGTTTTACCTCTTTTAAATGATATAGATAATGAGAAAGTGGTAAAAAAGGGTCATGACAAAAATCCTCTTCTAATTTTAACAATGTCTGTCTATAATCCATCAAGACATTATTTAAACCATGACAAGCAGCCTTTAAATATAATCCATGTAGCTTATCTTCCCTCTTTAGAGCTAAGAAATAAAATTATGTATCATTGACATTTAACATTAAGGAGATCCTTCAACAGTTCTTTTTGATTTATCAAAGAATCTGATATTTTCACAGTTGGTTTCAAAATCCAAAGTCTTTCATCTGGATACTTAGTAAATAAGTTTTCAGACAAAACCATTATTCATCCTGTTGACTTAATCCATAGGGCTTACCATGAATATTTGCAGCCTAAGTTGATTAAAAACTAGAGCCTACCTGCATGCTGAACAGAAAGCATAGAACTGTATGTGGCTATGAAATTCTTAAAGTTTCTAAAATGGGTGCCCAACTTTCCAAAATCATTTAGAATTGCTACTTCGGCTTTGCAAATGAAAGGTATACCAGAAAACACCTGAAATAAACAATGTTTAACTTCAAATCTTCTCTAAATCATTGATCCAAAGCTAGAAGAAGAAAAACCAAAAATGCCAAAACATCATCTCAATCCTAACAATGACTTAACAACATGGATAGTGGACAGAGTGGGAACCATTTTAATTAATGATTGATGGGTTCAACTTGAAAAGGCTGAAACCACTGGCTCTGCATGCTACTGTTGCAGTGTTTAAGCAATAGAGCTAAGCATTCTGTCTCTGCCAAATGTCAAAATCCGACATGAATCCCCCCCCCCCCCCTCCATCCCTCATTCTTCCTGTATTTTCATTGATGCTTGATACAATATGCCAGTGGTCTCACCTGAATACCATCGCCTTTATCCTGAAAAATTCCACCGGAATTTCCAGACAGGGCAAATAGGATCTCATGAAACATGACTAGGCCTATATTTTATTAATCTCATTTATCCTGAAATTCTTGTTTATTTTCATTCGATCCTGCCGCCAAGCTGAGTTGTCTTTCCTTTAACGGTGATTAAAGTACTGTGAAATTTTACACCCCTCCTAGAGTTTTTTCTTTTTTGTTTTTTCCTTTGAAAATATGATTTCAATCAATACGGATGTAATCTTGGAGACAATTTTTTCAAGCAGCTTTCGACTTCTTAACTCTTCTTGTATATTTCAGATTCTATGAAATTCAGTATTTGTACCCGGGCAATATTTTACAGCATAGAAAACATATGACACCGCTTTTTCAGTCTCTTCACTATAAAATAATTTATCTCATTCCGCAAAGAAAAATAATTTTGAATGGTATCAAATAATGTTTGATATATTCTCAATGTATAGTTTTGAACTTTCTCACAAATAATTTTTATGACAATGACATATCATAAATGTAGAAAAATGTAAAATTATCAAACTTTGACGAATCATCAATTCTGTAGAATTCATACACTAGAAACCTAGGTCCGGCCTTTTATAAAATTCAGCCATTGCTAAATAACGTGTCACGAATAGTGTCACGCTAAAAACTTACAAGATGGTGAGGAATCTTTACCCCTCTTCTTGAAAATTGATCATAATCTTCTGTGAGCTTTTCTTGTTCAGTTGCAAGTTATGAATTTAAATAAAATGTTGACAAAGGACTTCGATAAAGCCATTTCTGTCTCGGGTTGGGTGGGCATGACTTCAAAAACACGTGTTGTTGATAATGTCAATGAACATGATACAGTAACATTTCGGGTTAGATCTACTGAAGACTGATCTGAGTCTCGGAAATATATTTATCCTGTCATTTCTTTTAAATTGAAAATGTCTCCGTCAGATCAATGGAAATAAAAGGGTCAGGAATTTCACACTTTCCCCCCAGAAATTCCCTGTGAAAATTACCCTCACTTCTCTGAGACTAGTCATAAGATCTTGTCTTTCTTTCAGTCTGCAGCAAGACCCTTAGTATCTGTCTATAATGAGAAGGGAGAGAAAACTGGCACCAACGTTGCTTTACCAGCAGTGTTTAAAGCTCCAGTCAGACCTGATGTCGTCAACTTCGTTCATTTTGAAATGATGAAGAACACCAGACAACCATATGCTGTATCCCAAAAAGCAGGTAAAGTGTTCATGGATTAACTTTCGGTTCTTGAATCACATTTTGCAGATTGCACTCAACTATTTTGTGGTGCACTCTGTTCCATTGTGGACAATGTTGCTTGTACAACCCTTGTGAATGAAAATGGAAAACTACATTTAATGATATGATGAAAAGAAATTGACATCAATTCTCGGGATATATTCATGTTTTCAGGAAAATGTACAAGGAATGCAATTGCTATGGTGGCCATCTTGTCATGAATTTTTGTTAATTTCAGGTCACCAAACTTCTGCTGAATCCTGGGGAACTGGAAGAGCTGTTGCTCGTATTCCCCGTGTTCGTGGAGGTGGTACTCACCGATCAGGTCAGGGTGCCTTCGGTAACATGTGTCGAGGTGGTCGAATGTTCGCTCCAACTAAGACCTGGAGAAGATGGCACCGAAAGATTAACACCACCCAGAAGAGATATGCCATCTGTTCTGCTGTGGCTGCTACTGGAGTCCCTGCTCTTATCATGTCTAAAGGTATGTTAAGACAGAACCTAACATGCCACCCTCAGAGTTTCACGCTGTGCAATCTTCATAGAACTGAACTATTTCAGCCTACATCCTTACTGAAGTTTGACAAGTAGCATTTGTTTAAAGACACTTCTATGTGAAGTAGTCGAGATTAAGTCCCCATTATGAATACTGAATGACCAAATTGGTTAATCCTTTCACTGCCTTTCAGGACACAGAATTGAAGAAACCCCTGAGATACCATTGGTTGTCTCGGACAAGGTAGAAGAATTCAAGAGAACTAAAGAAGCTGTACAACTCATGAAAAAACTGAATGCTTGGATTGATATTCAAAAGGTTTATATTTAGTTCACTTTATTGCTTCACTAAAGTTATTTGTACTGTAATACTATTGTATTCTGTATAGTCAATTGCTTTGAACTATTGAGAAATATAAATCCGTACAAGCGAGACAATTCTGCCAATTACAATCTCATAAGTATGGCAAAATCAGAGAAAGATGGTTATTGATCTAGTTATGTTCCAGATGGGCTCCAAGAGCTTGAAATTTTCAGTTCATGTTCATGTATTTAAACTAGTCTTTAAACTCTTTCAGGTATATGCATCAAAACGTATGAGGCCAGGTAAAGGTAAATTGAGGAACAGAAGACAAATGATGCGTAAAGGTCCACTCATTGTATTCAATAAAAATAATGGTATCTGCAGAGCTTTTAGAAACATCCCAGGTAAATAGAATCTTGAGTTATTAAAAGCAAGATGGTTGATGGAACCAGAGGCGCAGATCGCTTTTTCAGTGCAGGGGGCGTGTACCACTTGTGATCTTAGCCCAGGGATAGAACTGCTCGCTTGGCTGGCATTATTTGTTATCTGACACCACTTAGCTCTGTTTCATTTCTTGAATGTTAGTTGTATTATACTAATTTTGACCTTCCACAATTTCAGGTGTTAATCTATTAGATGTATCAAGATTGAATTTATTGAAAGTAGCACCTGGAGGCCATGTTGGACGATTTACTATCTGGACTGAGGGCGCTTTTAAAGCTTTAGACGGTCTTTATGGTACATGGAAAAAAGCTTCAACTGAGAAAAATCATTTCAAGTATGTACTATTACAGCACACAAAAAAACTGGAAGGAAACAGAGACACTTGCCAAAGCAATAATACCTCTATAAATGACCATAAAATTTAACTTGGCAAAATAAATTCATCTGTTGGCCATATTTGAACCTTACTTGAAATCGATAATTTGGGAGAAAAAATACCTAAATGCTAGATATATTACCAAGAATAAAACTTCATTTAAGATACTCAATTAATGAAAATTAACTGATATCAAATTGTATTGTTCTATTTCAGTTTACCAGCAACTAAAATGACTAATACTGATTTACTAAGATTGTTGAGAAGTGATGAGATCACCTCAGTTGTAAGACCAGCTATGTAAGTATTTAAGACATTCTCTCATGTAATCTTAGTTTAGAAAGAATTGATGTTAGGATCCAATTTATATCAACGCTGAATGTGTAAATGAGTATATTGAGTAGAGATAAGTGAAGTCCATTTCAACAGTCCTGCAGGGAAAATATATTAAAATGATCTTGTGAACTGCAAGGAAGATTATTGCATTAAATTGGGTGTTTGGGTGTGTCATCTTGTTTTATAAATGCAGTGCTCACAGTAACTTTGAATGACATAGATGTGCTACATTTATTCACTTGGGTATTGTTTCTTTTCTTATAGCCATGATCGTAAACGAAGAACTTTGAAAAAGAATCCTCTTAAAAACCGATCGGTTATGATTCGTCTGAATCCCTATGCTAAAGTTCAACATAAATTACAAGAGAAGCGCGAGAAGGATAGAACTAATTTATTGAATAAAAAACGTGGGGTAAGTATTGCTGGTCAAATAATAGGCTTTTCCACAACTACTATTAAATTGCATTCATTCTTCAATCCATCAACATCTTTTACAAAGACGTGTTGAATTGAATTAGAATTTCTCCATAGGATTTTAATTTGCATAACATTAAAATTGGTCTTTTCTGTGGCATGGATTAAGACTTCTCTTCAGCAAGCTATTTCAAGTTTTAATGAAGGGTTATATTGGAATTTTTCTGTTGCAGCTTCCTCCAGTGCAAGAGGCACCCAAGTCTAAGAGTATCCAAAGGAATGCTGCTAAAAGAAAGGCATGGCTGTCCAAGAAGGGCTTGAAGAAGCAGAAGGCTCCAAAAGCCAAACCTGCTAAACCAGCAAAGAAGGGCAAAGCTGGAAAAGGCAAAAAACCTGATCCAGTCAAAGCCAGAAAATAAACATGTTGTTCTTCAAGAATAAACTCTGAAAGATAGCCTTGTTTTATTTTCTATTAAAATTTTCAGATTTATAACACAGTGCCTTATTAATAAAAGGTACTATACGAAATTAAGGTACTTTAGCATGAAGTTGCTGAACAGAAATGAAAAGGGAATAGGAAAAAACAGTCATGATAATATTCTTTAATGAAATTATTGCACATAAATAAAATAAACACAATATCTGTACATAAAAAAAATTGAATACTTAAATAACTGTTATGCGAAGGTGCTCTGATCTTCTGATTCTAAACACCTAAGACCATTTGTAGGAATAAACTGGTCCCCCTTCGCACTGAAGGAATAGGCTGGAGCTATGTTTATCTTGGCATTGCTTATACAGAGGTCCAGTTTACAACTCTAAATAGACTGTTTAACTATTATTAGCTGGTCAATATTTTTGACCCATGAGATTTGGGCCACACCTGCTGTTAGTGGAGGGATAATCGAACACAACAGGGGACCAGTTTAGGTGTGAACAAGGGAAGTAACTCATGATTGCTTAGAACACCGGAAACCTCTCTTCACAACACTGTTTATTGAGCAAATTGTTAAATTGGAACATGAAAAGTTTTTACAGTATTCAAACCTTGAAACCAATGGTTGGTGAGCAGACAATTCTTCAAGCATTAAGCATGTATATATTGAAAAAGTTATACAATAGTTGAAAATTACCGTAATCAAAATATAGAGAGAATGAAAAGTCTGAATTTTTTCAACTCACGGCTGACAATCAGTAGCTGAAGATGATAGTGCAGAGTTAATGTTAGCGAGCAAGCGTCTAACTCACTGAGCCACCGCGGCTCCCTCACATGTAGATGAAGATGATAGTACAGAAACAGCAGAGAGAATGACATCATGTTTAGTTTTTTTTCAATAAAAGGTCTTTAACTCACAGCTGACAATCAGTACGCCACGTGAAGCTGAAGATGACAGTACAGTGACTGCAGAGTTAGAGTTAGTAGCTTACATAAATAGCTGAATACTGATCATAATATAATAATAACATTAATAATATATACAAAATAACACTGGGTCTTTAAAATAATCACAACAATGAGCAAATTTACATTCCAAAACACTGTCATTATTTCACAAATGAATTTATATTAGGATTGCATGTTCCCGAAAACTTGACTGACAGATTTTACGAAATACAGTTATCTGATTGAATAATCAAACTATTTTAAAATCAATTTCAATGATTGACCAATCAGATGAATGAAATATCATCTCAAGTTAAGTTTTCAAGGAAAAAAATCCATTCATTAGTTATTCCACACATTTAATTTCAAACTACTAAGTAATCTGATAAAAAAACATAATAATTCGACCCTGATGTTTAAAATACAAATAAAAGAAATCAATAATAAATTAGAAAAGATGGAATGCATTATAATTATTAGTAACAATAATATCTTCAATACAAAATAAAATTTGAAATAATAATCTTATAATATCAATCATTGAATAAATACCAGCCTAGTTTTTCTTTTAGGCTATGTACACCAGGCCTTACTACAGTAGACATGTCTCAGACTTCTGAATAACTAAGAATAAATTTCTTTGTACTAAGGCATTGTAAAGCTGAAAGCAAAGCCTCCATGCTTACATGCATGAAAATACTGGTAATACCTTGAATAAGCTTATTTCTATAATAATAATGTGATATTATGACGATATATCATTATTATGTGCAGCTAGAACAATACTACAAATGGCAAGCAATGACTACAGGTTTTGATTGATTGATCTACCAAATGATTGAAATAGAAAAAAAAATACACCAACAATGCATGGCTGAATGGATGACTCTATAAAATTACTTTTGAAAAATAAATTTTGTATATTGAAAGAAAAAAACAAGTGACTAATCAAAATAAGATTGGTGACTTCCCATCTTTGGTGATTGTATAGCTTGAAATGCTGTAAAAAATATTAAAACCCCTAATGTTTATGAACACAGACACCTGTTTTTTCTCTGTTATTACAAATCTTCATTTGTAGGCTAAAACTAACCAGATGCCTGGATTCAAAAACTTCAATGACAAAACCACTTAATCTCATACTTGACATGATTCCAATTGAAATGTTTCTCTAAAAAAAATTAAATGGGCTACTATGGAACATGGAATCAGAGGAGAGGAAGTGTGCATATCATTAAATACAGTAGATACATTGTCCACAAACTAGACAGCAGTCTTATGGTAGTTGTGAAAGAGACAGGTGTTGGCTGAATATATTAAATTATGCCTCCACTTCTTCCTTTATCAAGAATTTATCAGCTATATATTATGTTTGTTGAAAGCAGTGTGATGATGGATTTCAATATTTTCACTTCACAATAAAATTACAGTCACAACCTGAAATATATTAGAAAAAAAAACATTACAGGCTGTTTAATTCTCAGTTTATCTTTTTAAATCTATAAGTAAAATCTATAACCAAGAATATTCTTTTGAGGCAAATTAAACTCACTGTTCTAAACTTTAACAACAAAAAATGGCAAAATTATAATATATGGATGGGTTAGCTGGATCTCATTAAAGACTTTCTCATATTAGGAGTATAATATACAGTCAATATGTACGGGTATATATATTATGCAATTGGCACGGTTTTGATAGAATGTATTCAATTACAAGTGGTTATACAGTGTAACAGCTGATATAATATAGTTTTATCTATTAAATATCCTAATGAACACTGGCTGTATTATCCCTGTATTCAACATGATAACCATATGCTGTCAACTTTTGGTCTTGACAAAATACTTCATGATACAGTGTAACTGATCCTTCATTAAAAGTAAAACTAGTAAATGAACAATGTAGATGTATTGATTGAATAGCTCACTGCATTGTTAACATGTTTGAAAAATAGAGTGAAAATATTCAGCTGGAAGCTGTAATATAAACCTGGCAACATTTGTTTAGTTTTATCTCATGACTCAGCATTGAATTATGGACAAAACAAATTGCATTCATTTTGGGATGATTTTTTTAATCTTTACTGATGTCTAAATGCATGAAGCTGATAGAGAGAAAAAGGGATGAACTTTGCGAGCTATGATATATTTTTACAAAAGTGACCACTTTAAACCAAGTGTCGACAAAAAAGATGTCATAAATATAAACTTATTAGAATATCATAAAGGTACAAGCATAATAATAAAACTTTCTTGTATAATCACATAAATATAATCAAGTGTATATGAAAACAATTAACCTCTGTTGACAATCAAACTGCTTGTAAAGTTCTACTAACTGACTACTAGAGCACACCTGTTGGGATTTAATCTACCAGATGGCTAACACACTGTCTAAATAATCAATGAAGCTATTGGACACAATTTCATCTTTCATTAATTGGTCATAAAACAGAGTTCAATCGATGTTTTTAGATGGTTCTAGCATAACAATCTTATAAAATACAGAATCAATATTCATTATACACATACATTTGTATGTATTAATAAGTATTTGCACCAGGGTGGTAGGTTTATGACATTAAGAGTCTCTTTGGAAATCATGAAACAAAAAATACTATAGCATAACCATATTGATATACAAAATTCTCGCACTGGTAAACTACATGTTAATGAATAAAAAAACTATTGAACTGTGACAAGGCTGTGACAAAGTAGGCCACATTGATATACAGACTTGTCTAAGAGTTGAAGTGTAAACCTCTAATCAGCAACACCTTATTTACAATCGAAACGCTTTCTGATTTTCCTTGGGTTTTTGTTTAGACTTGTTTTGATTAAACACTATCTAAACTCACTCAAACTGATCCTTTCCCTATTCAAAATCAGAGCTTACTGAATTCTCTTTTGTAGGGACTTGTTGAGAGTTAATACTTGGTTACCCATATGAAAACATCATATATAAAGCAAATCATACTAAATTCATTAGAGTATGTTCTCTAGTGTACTTGTAATGCATGGATAAATAATCAAATGAACTAATTATTCATGTATGTACTGAAAATAATACAATTGTAGAGCAATATAGAAATATTACTGTTAAAATAGTGCTCAATACATCAACTGTAGAGAGATATAGAAATATCAAAACAGAACTTGAATCATGTTGTTACTCAGAGTTTCAGATCGTCTAGTTGTCTGAAGATTGTATAGCGTGAAACTCTAATATTTCCAATGATTGTCTAATAGTAAAGTAAATCTAGTACTGCTCTAAGGATAAGTAAGGATTTGTGAATCTTTTAAGCAAATCATACTAAATTCATTAGAGTATGTTCTCTAGTGTACTTGTAATGCATGGATAAATAATCAAATGAACTAATTATTCATGTATGTACTGAAAATAATACATGCGTGGATGAGATCTGTCATAACAATGAATAGATATTTATAACATCCTATGTAAAAAGAGAAATAGGCTATTATTAGTATTATATAAGAGACTCAAAAAACAAACCTAATGTTAGATCTTGTTATATCATACTTTACAATAGGTTAATTGTTGTTTTTTAAGTGACATATTTCTTACTTTTGGGCTCAATTATTGTCATTTTTTGTTACCATAAGAGATTTGAAGTAGTATCAAAAATGAAAGTAAGACTCACTACATATTATGAGAAAACATTACTTAAATTATATAATGATACTTGACTGTTAAAATAGTGCTCAATACATCAATTGTAGAGCGATATAGAAATACCACTGTTAAAATAGTGCTCAATACATCAATTGTAGAGTGATATAGAAATACCACTGTTAAAATAGTGCTCAATACATCAATTGTAGAGTGATATAGAAATACCACTGTTAAAATGGTGCTCAATACATCAATTGTAGAGTGATATAGAAATACCACTGTTAAAATGGTGCTCAATACATCAACTGTGGGGTGATATAGAAATACCACTGTTAAAATAGTTCTCAATACATCAACTGTAGAGAGATATAGAAATACCACTGTTAAAATAGTGCTCAATACATCAATTGTAGAGTGATATAGAAATACCACTGTTAAAACAGTGCTCAATACATCAATTATAGAGCGATATAGAAATATTACTGTTAAAATAGTGCTCAATACATCAATTGTAGAGCGATATAGAAATATTACTGTTAAAATAGTGCTCAATACATCAATTGTAGAGTGATATAGAAATACCACTGTTAAAATAGTGCTCAATACATCAATTGTAGAGCAATATAGAAATATTACTGTTAAAATAGTGCTCAATACATCAACTGTAGAGAGATATAGAAATATCAAAACAGAACTTGAATCATGTTGTTACTCAGAGTTTCAGATCGTCTAGTTGTCTGAAGATTGTATAGCGTGAAACTCTAATATTTCCAATGATTGTCTAATAGTAAAGTAAATCTAGTACTGCTCTAAGGATAAGTAAGGATTTGTGAATCTTTTAAGTGTGCAGTGTGCATTGAGGAAATTAGCCAATCTTTCTTTTAAGCTCTCTACTGTTTTGAAACCAGCAATCATATACAACTTATTCAAAGCTTATAATAATTACATGTCTGCTGATCTCATAAATTCTCTATTTCAAACTTGGAATTCCACAGTTTCCCTATCAATTTCAAGAAAACAGCGGAATTGCCTTGGTCTGCTAGTATTTATATAACCTTATATGCAATTAATCTATTGTCCTGGGGATTTGTGAAACCAGCAATCATAAGCTTCTAATAATTACAGGTCTGATGACCTCCTAAATTCAGAATTCCATAGTTACTTGATCAATTTGAATAAAACAGAAAACAAGCTTGGTCTCTGCTACTACATAGACCGAGAGACTTAGTATCACTATTATCATAATTTAAGAGCTAAGATTACCACTGTTTGTTCAGTGAAATCCCAGCAGGACAGACCTTACTGACAGATGACCATTGTCTATAGTGATTGTATACTGGTAGTTCACAGATTGCTAATTAGCCTATTAACTATGTCAAGTTGGTTATCTTAGTATCAGCCTAGCTAGAGTTTGAACCCACTACTGTGAAACTAGTAATAGATAATACCTATATTAGAAACTAAATTGCATGTGCCTGCCTAATCTAGATAAACCCTTTATCTTATCATATAGAAACTACACTAAATTTACCAAAACTGAGGACTAATGGAAGTCTTTTAGTTTTATTACTATCACAGAATGATTAAGACTTTAATAACACCAATCTTTCTTACAGGATTCGTAAGTCTGTTGTAAGTCTTCAATGATTAATATTTCATAATTGCCTTAAAAAAGGACAATATCATCAATGTTGCCGTGCATGTATCTTGATATTACACAAGTTTGATCTCAAGCTAACAAATGCTGACCCTTTTAGCTATAAATTCTTTAATCCTTTAAATTTCAACAAATGATAATTCAATAACAAAATCTACTCACACAATAGGAAAAATTAGGAATAAATTATCTTTTATGACCACCATTTAATTCGAAAACTGTCATATCATCCTCATCATCATCTTCCTGATCTAAAGGTGCCATTTCTAAATCATTGGGTGCTGTTATTAATCCATATTTTCTAGATTTATTTCTTTTATGACGTAATCTGCAAAACAAAATTCAGTTTCCAAGTTGGTTAAATGAGAAATGAGAGTTTGAATCAATTAAGATCAAAAGATTCCTTAAATATACATATATTCATAGACCCTAATAATTTTCATCAAAAAAATTCAAAAGAATCTGTAGCGATTAGCAATCCGCCAATACATTGTGACCTTAAAAGTTTAAATGTTACAATAATTGTCTGGAAACTATTTATTATAATTGCATTATATCATTATTGCTGTAATATCATTCATAAAATATTACTGTATTCAAATATCATAGGTTATGTGGGAGTGTCATACTGTCATGCAGATTACATATTGTTATCATGCCCTTCTATGGTCCCAAGTAGACAAATCAACAAGGCACTGAAACAATATGTATCACAGCAATCTTTAGTCTATTGTACCAATATCGATTAGCTTTTAGGAATTTCATATATCATGATGCCATTGGCATGACTTTTGAAACAGTGTCACCTTCTCTGTGTAATGATCTGATATAATTATTGCAAGTTTTCTGTAGCCTAATATTATTATTTCATTTAAACAATAAATATGAACAGAATTTGAGGCACCAACTCAGGAACTGGCTTCTGTTTACCCTAGCCGTAAGTTATCTTATATTATTAGTCATATACCATCCATTTGATGTGTTAGTCTGAACTTGAAGTAACTGTAGAATGTAGACTACCATGTCATGTAACTTACCTAAATGCTCTCACCATAAAATATACCACAATAATGGAGGTTAAAGCAATCAAAACATACAATGTTCTTAATAACATTGCTTTATTTTCCCCTATCATATTCATCATATTTCCATAAAATGTTTTATTTTCTGTGCAATTTTTACTACCATCTTTACAAACAGTGTCATTTGAGTTTGTGTTATTATTTGAAACTATAACATCACTGGCTGATGAAGGATGTTTTGCAGGAGTCTGATTGTCAATAGTTCCATGTTTGTTTTCATTCACTGACTTGGCAATCTTGGAAGCTCCATCATCCAAAGAATGGACAGATTGTGAAAAATGTCCTATAAAAACAACCGAAAACACAAATAAAATATAAGTCGATCTCCCCATCTTTTCAGCTAAAATGTTCCAAAATCACAGATGAGAAAAATAACTGTTATAACAACATAATCTTTTCATAAAATTTCAATGAAATATTTCTTTTTCGTCTTGTTTTCAACACAGCAGTCACACAACAACACGTCGTCCGGAAATGAAATGTTTGGTTATCCAGTCACATGCACCGTTATCACGTGATTTGTATTTTGTACAAAATGGCGGCAAACAAAAATGGATTCAAAACTGTCAATAACTCTATATTTATTACCTGTCAATCTATCTTAGGAAAGAAGAATTTAAGAGTTTTTTCTTGACGTTTGCCTGAATATATTAGCATTAATTGCTATTTTGAGTGGATGAATGACATTTCGGAAAGTGATGAATGAATAATAAAAAACACATCAAAAATGGTTTGATCAGACAAGAAATAGAATGAATATTCTCAAAACTGGCTAAATATTGAATTGAAATATCAATCTGATATATGTTTTAATTCTTTTGAAAAGGGTTACAGGTACTGCATGTGTAATTCATTCATAATCTGAAGAAAGTTTTATACACTGGATTTTGCCCTATCACTGTCAGTGAATATTTTAATATTGAAAGGAGACTTGCTCACACCTGATTCCATGCATGATTCCAAGTGGGAAAATATCATAGGATATGATTTGACATCAAATTTTCCATATGTATAAATAAGGAAAAGGAATTTTATTTTTCGTACCAATTTATCTTTCAATTTTTGATTTTTGTTTGATTTTGTTTAAAAGCTCAACTATGGAATGAATGGATTAAAATTGAAATATGGATGAATTAACTGCAATGGTTCACCATTCACATGAAATGGTATTATCAACAGAAGATGCTTGGACAATTTTACAAAATAAGTATGTTAACTGAAATTGTAACAAGAATCCAAAGCCAATTTTAAGGATGAAATGTGAAGACATTGATAATTATTTGATAGAAAGACACACTAATGCATGCTAAAATGATCAATATTTAGAAAACCAAATCAAATAAATATTTAAATTTTACATACACTTACAATGTTATAAGACAAAATATTTATCAAAAAATCAAAACCATGGTGTGTATCTAGGGATTGTAAGCATTCACTGTAGGTCCTACTATTCATGTTTATTAATTCATTTATTTATAGAGACAATATCAGTGTTGGTAATATCAATATTAAGGGCAGAATATCATCAATTAGTGAAATATTCAGGTAATATTTTAATTAATAATTATATCTTCTAGCAATCAGTTTATTACATCCCATGGAAGAGTTAGATCTAAAAAGAACAGTCTTAGATAAACTTGATGTCAGAGTTGGATTATAGATTATTTCATAAACTGACAATTTAAAATTGATTTCAAAATAGTGCACATATTTTCATACAAAATTAGTGTATGAATTGCATTTCGATTCAAACTTTTTGTCCATTTCATCGGGTTGAAACAACTCAGTGTACAATAAGGTAAATTGAGCCACAGCTTTTCAGCAATTTATTCTCTGAATGATTTTTTTTTTTGCATGTATTTTATCCTGACTATCAATTATTGATAGTATTATAAATCATGATTACTATTTATAATGTAGAGTTAATAAAGATAAGTTATTTTTAATGATAATTGATGATATGGTCAATATTATAGTAATGGTAAGTTGATAAGTGTATAATATTTCAATCATTATTTTAATTAACTGGTTGTGTATCTAAATTGTTTTTTACTGGTTGGAATTAAGTTTTGGTCCACAGGAAGTCTTATATACTTTTATGTTGATGGACTTCAATTCAACAATGAATTGATAGATATAGATTTGAACACTGTTACAAGGGTAAAATATGCCTTAATTCAGAAAGAAAATGCAACACTGATATATAAGGAATATAAGGAATTACAAAGGCAAAATAAAAACATTTACAGAAGATAAGAATCTCTTAACATTTCATTACATTTTTATGGTAACAGTAACTGAATTGATGTTTTGATTTCAGAAAGAGGAATTGTTAAAATGGAATGAGTATCTAGTTCCAGGTCATGATTATATATTTACTAGGTTTAAACCTGCAACACTTAAAAAGGTAAGAAAATGATGTATGGTTTTCAAAGTGGAAAATTGATGCTGGCAAATTTATAGAATTCAAAATGGTGTAATACTAGCCTTGTACATTATACAAAGTTTACACTCTTAGTTGCAGATTAACTCATATATTCTGAAAATCTCTGGTACAATATGAATGTCGAGCCTTAATAGTAACACCACCCAAATTCTTATACCTGCATAATCAAAAGCAGAGCTTGAATCAAGTTACAGGCTACTTTGATGTAACTCTTATTGTATTCAGTATTTTATGTTCTAGGGTGTGGATATACCTTTCAAAGTTTTTATGCCTGGATCAAAATCAGAATTATTCAAGGATGATGATAATATAAAGACCTGCAGTCTTACAGTAAGTATGTTGTAATCATATTAAGATAGTTGATTAGAGTACCTGTATACAGTGGTGTTTTAGAAGACAAATATTCTATATATTTTTTTAATGCATTAGAACATGTAAATTTTATGCAGTTTTATCCTCATAGTGAAATTAGATTAAAGGGGAATAAATCTATTTTGTTAGTATCACTCACAATGTGATTTCATGATATTTTCAGAAGTGGTTGGAAAGAAATTCTTTAGATAAAGATAAATTACATCTAAATCTTCCCAAACCAACAGATAAAGAATTAGACCCTGGCTGTAAATTTGTCTCTTATCAGGTACACTGTAATATTTATTTTGAATGACCTTAATATTAGTTTCTCCTGGGACTTTTCATAATTCTATATGTAGACAATAATGTCTCTTTTAGTGGTTTCACTGTTCAGTGTAGAGAAATCACAACAAAAAGTAGTCTTTTGAAATTGCCGTAACATTATTTTTTGCCACTTTGTTTTGTAGGGGAAGATAGAAAAGGTTATTAGTTCTGAATTTGGAATTTACAATCTGGATGGTAACATTTTGTAAGTTGTGTATTTGATGTAAATTGTATATTACAGAAAATGTGCTCCACTGAACTATTCACTATCTCATCAGGTTCTAAAATAGACTTTTTAGCCTATTTTCTATCAAACTCTTTTGATAATTACAGAAAAACTTTATTATGACATATAGCCATCATATAAAATGTCTCTCACATCGTAAACCAAACTATTTGTTATATTTCAGGTTACATACCAGTTATTTACCAGCCAGTAAAAGAATAGTCATTATTAATATTGGTAGTACTATAATAGTTTATAATGTACATCATGGTACTGGCAAAGTGGTTAGTACTTTTGAATTTTTTTACTCTAACAGTGGCAACTAGTATTTGGTGGAGAAAACAGCACTGCATTATATAATGTGTCATCACAGAAAAATACATCAATACAATATACACTTAAATGTGATTATATATAATTGTCTGCAGGATTTAAGAATTTGCCCTAGGATTGCCCGTAGGTTTACTGTGTAGTTCAGTATGTTTCTGTAGAAAAATAATCTGAAGTTAATAAGTTAATATGTGTCTGGCAATAGGTTCTTAGACATAACTGATTTAACATCTTGTATTTTATTTTATTGTTGAATCATCACTAAATAAACTTATTTTATCTCCAGGCTCCAAGAATACACCTGTATTGTTGTAGTAAGAGTACTTTACAAGTAGTAAATAGTGGTCCACCAACTACTGTCAAAATTCATAATGTAAGTACTGGTAGTTTATAGACTTGCTGTTATATTATACAGGTATATTACAGAAGCACATTCACTAATTATTAGTGGAGGAACGAAAACAGTTGTATCAGTATAGAATAAGGTTTGATATGGTCCAAACAAATGGAAAATAGATCACATTAACCTATTTAAAGTTGTTTTATAGGCTAGCTATACAGAAGCTGTGAGAACCTGGGTTTATCATACAATAAATACCTATAGTTTAAATAGAATAGAATGTGAGAATTTACAACATTTTTATCAAACAGTGTATTGTCTGTGTAAGGGTTTAAAAAGGTAAGAAACGTATGTTTTGCCGACTTGAAAGATCTAAAAAATGGAAGGTTATTTATTAAAACAGATGTTCACCAATCCCCTTAAAAAAAATTCAACACCTATACCTGACTTTTGTTGTCAACCTATCTACACCAGGGTGCAAATTATTTGGAAAAATGAAACCATCATTTTTAACAGATTTAACAGTTTCCTTCTACTGGCTGATCTTTGGATAACCCCTTTGGCATTGATCTTTCATGGATAATCCTTACCTATTTACAACAAGGTTGACTGGAAAGAGACCTATTGTAGAATAAACTAGATATAAGATAAAAGTCAAGTATTTTGTATTTTTAGAGAGAAGTATGATGTGATCAGATTGCTACAATCAGTGCTATCTACGTCATGTTGTTTAAGACTACAACCGCAGCCACGAAACATCATCCAGGAATTTTTTACATCCCCTCACAGTTGCTTCTTTAAACAAGTGGTACGTCTACAATTTTGTTTGTAAATATAACTTAAAGAAGAATTTGTTTATCCTGAAGGAGCTGATATCTAATCCTCTATCAAATGATGATCTGAATCTACTTATACATAAAATATCATAGAATTTGGTATATAAATAAAATGCTCAACTGGTAAAAAAAAAAAGTGAAATGAAATGGTATGGGATGTCTTGCTGCTGTACATAAAAACCAATGGTTTATGTAGTGTCTTTAAAATTGGAATAAGCCTTGAAAGGCCTTGTAATTCTAACCATTAAAATCTTTGTCAATGGTTTCCCCTGTAATGTCTAGGAAAGACTTAGCTGTTATATTTTTTAGGGTGAAGCACATAAAATACCTAATATTGTAACAGTAGAAAGTTTACTGGAACTGGCCTCCAACCAAAGTGACCAGATAGAAACATTGAAAACTAAACATCAACATAGTCATCTCACTGGTAAAGATTTGAGTGAAAAGTTGTATTGGTCTTATAAATTATCTCCAAACCAAGATACACAAGGGGTATGTTATTTGCTTAAGGGGTTATTGTAAGCTAGATATTCATTTATTAGAAACGGGTGTCAGGTTTTAGGATTGAAAAGTGTTATGGATAGCTAGAATGCTATGCTTTTATGATAATTGAAATTGACGAAATTCCACATACATTTTGTGTGTAATATATATTGTCTTTTTTAAACTTTCTCCTTTTGTATCTATTTTGATGAATATTAGTATGCATGAAACAGTTCATTATGCACATGAATTATTCTTATAAATTTTATTATCAATCTGAACTAATTATGTTATATTGAAGGTTATAATGGGCTGGCTAGAACTATGTACTACTACTGGACATCTTATATTCTGTGATGGTAAAAACAGAATAAACACCATAATAACTAGTAATAACAACCAGCATAACTGTGATAGAAACTGTCTAGATATCTCTTCTACAACCTCTCATTGTCCTTTACTTCAACTTCAAACATTGGGGAAAATTCTAATTGTGAAATCTTTTTGTGTCGTGAGCGAACAATTCATGGTGGGTCAATTTTCAAGCATTGAATCTCTTAATACAGACAGTGTTGATGAAATTCAACATATTCCTTATCTACAGTTCTCAATGAGTGACAGTCATGTTTTTTTACCTTCTAAAAGAAACTCTTCACAATCAAAGTGTTCCTTAAAAGACAATTTTAAAAAGAAAAAAGAAGGGAATTCTGATGGGCATTTATTGGAAACAAAATCTGCTAAGGGTTCATTGTGTAAAGGTGTATTGGCATCAGATTCTTCGTCAAAGACTGTCCAGGGATTCACGGCCCTCAGAAACGAACAAAGATCCCATGTCAGTTGTACAACTTCAAGGTCTGCAAACTTTGGTGAAAATTCAAAAGCAATTTCTGAAATAAATAATAATGCACGTGAGATTCCTTGCTCTGTGAAACCAATTCCAAATGGCTGCCTCAAAAGGAATACGGATTCGTTTGTCCATCAGAATGCTCAGAGTGATGTGTCCATGAATCAAAATGGCTGCCAAACAGATACCAGAAATGTTAAAACTGTGATGATAACTCATAAAGAATCTTTAATGACAGAAACATTTAGAGGTCAAACAAGGTTAAAGTTTACTGCCTTGGGTTGTATAATGTATCCAATTGCTTGCGATAAATCCAAGGGACTTGAGAATTATAGATACGAGCCTATAGTGTTAGTCTTTCAAGGACCCAGTGTCAAGTGGTATGATGTGATACTATCAGCTGCAGTGTATGAATTTGATCAGTTGAAGTATGTAGATTATAAAGTACCATCATCTATGCAGTATCGAGTGAAGACCTCAGTACAAAGATCTAAAGCTAGAAGAACTGTGACTGTACCAACAGATACTCATATTAATAGAATATTTCTTCAGGATCATTCAGTTCAGGTAAGTGGGACAGCCAGGTTAAATATCCTGAATTTAACTTTTAACAGTATTTCTCTCGGACTGGATTTTGAACTGACTGAATTAACATACATGTTTGATTAGAGCTCTTTTTTGCTTAACATAATCAATTTTTAAGCTTTTTGGGGAGGTTTCTCATGTTTTTTGCTTTTAATCAAGTTTTAATTAAACTATCAAAGTTTTTTTTCTCCATTTCAGCCAAATGAAGGAGTAAAAGATATAGAAGATATTTTATCAACAGAGTAAGTTATACTTTAACAGTTACTTCCCTTGCTATTTAAACTTTTAACTTTTATTTATGACGCCTATCATGTACAGGTATGTATGATTTTTGCTGATACTTCATGAAGATGTTTGAAGATCTAAGTGAAGGTCAGCCATTGCTGCAAACTTCGGGTACAGTTAACATTAAATGCAGGCTTGTAGATACCCAAGGGTCTCAGGGGGGCCAAAATTTGTTTAGGAGGGCTCAATGATAGCGACTCAACAAGTCATTCAAGTCATCTAATGATTCAGAGTGGGAGGGCAAAATCTTCGTATATTTCTCTACCTACGGGTCTGATCGAATTGTCTTCCAATACTTGTATTGATTAAATGAAATATATTGTAGATGTAAAGACGGTCTAGTATCAGTAATTGGTAGAATAGTAGGACGTAAACATTGTGAATCTGGACTGCCTCCTAAAGGTGTTGGTTTTAATGAAGAGAAGTTGAGAATTGAAATACAAAGAAACCTTGGTTAGTAATCTCTGTTAGAATTTTATTTAACTCTCAATATTGACTTGGAACCTCTGAAAAATTCCCCTAAATTTTTCACTGTCTAGTGCACCCCAAGTTAGGCAAGCTTTTTAAGTTTAAAATCTGCACACAATACAAGCAAAAATACGGTATATGAATTATAGAGAACTTTTGTAAATTAGTAATATAGGCAACATGGAAATATCAAAATTCACAAACATGTCTAAGAAGCTTATTGGTAGTTCAACAAATTTAAATATGATGAAATCCTGCACCACATGTACACAAATACCTTGCAGTGTGTGATAAGGGGAGATTAGCCGTATTTCACCTTTCAACTGTTGAGGGATTTTTAATCAAATATATTTTGTATAGCATAGTATGAAATAAGTATAATTATTTGCTTGACCAGCTCATCATTTCAGGTATCCAAATCACTTTTTAGAATAAAAATCAGACAACTGGTGTGTTGGCGATTCTAAACAATATACTGATGGCAGTGATCTTAATGTCTGAATGTCTACTTGTTATACATTCCAGGTGTCTCTATGATAGGTAATCAGTGTGTACAACTTCAGTTAAAATCTCTGACTAATACTAGTGAAATAACAATTTATATGAAGTTAGAGCGAACATCATATCCTCTAGGTCTAATACCTGGTACAGTACTCAAGTTTGAACGATTGGAGAGAAAGACGTCAAAACGTGGCACTGTTTACTGTCATTATATATCAGTCTCTAGTTGTACAGTGATATCATTTACTACACCTACCCATAGGTAAAAGTATATATTTAACTTAATTTAATTATTTGAGCCAAATTTTGAAGAAATGGTTGTAGTAAATTGCAAGACATTATGGGTTATATCTCAGCATGCTTCCTATGCGGTAGAAAGGCCATTTGATTGGTTAATTGTTTTCAAAAGCTGAACATAATGTAGTTAAAAAAATCTTAGTCAAGTCACCTAAATAAAAAGTAGGCCTATAAAAAATTTTGTGTTTGTATTTAAATATTTCAGTTCCCAAGAAAAGCAAATAGAAGATATGAATAGAAATGGAGCTAGAGTAGTATATATACTAGATAAACTACATGACAGAGATTCCAATATCTTTCTATGTCAGGGGCGTATTTATCAAATTATCAGTTTAAAACTAGAGTGTAAATGTTGTTTATGTGGTAGTGTTTACAGACAATCAAAATGTCCCAGTCCAGCCTGCAGAAATAATTCATACTGTAAATTGTCTGGAAAAATCAGGTAGATATGAAAAAGACTCAAGTATATTTTTATGTCATGGGTATACATGTATATGTATTTGAAATCTAAGTTGGTAAAATGAGACACCATTTGCACTCCATGATCTGACACAATTGTTATGCATCTCATGTTCAAGGTCATATAATATTCAACCAGTTAAATGTTCTGTTTGATAAAAGATCTCTTTTGTTATCAGGAACTGTGGGATATTGTTAAATTATTGCTTTTCTCTGTTGGCACTTTTTGTTTTCGATTGGTTTATATAAATAATGCCTGAACATGATTTTAAGAAAAATTAGGTCAGATCAAGGGTAAACACAAAGAAAAAACATTCATATCTTCATTTTTACCAGATTGTACAAAGCATAAATGTATATTCTTCTGTATTTTATTTTCAGTTTTTTGATAGATGATGGCAGTACAGTAGCTAAGAGTTTCTACATACTAGATAATACTAGAATAACAGGTTTATTTCAACTCAAACCTGAAGAATTAGACTGTTTAATAGAAGAAATACAAGAAACTGGAGAAATTTATATTGCTAATGTAAGTAGAATTTGATAACAGATCATTTTATTCTGTCAACACATGTTTCTGATGAACACATCATTAGAATCGTTAATTTGGAATGAAAGGAAATTCACAGAGTTAATGTCTATTGAGTCTTTTACACAGTAGCTGATAGTGACAATCTTCAAAGCCAGGAAAGTTTCGGCAGGCTTCAGATTAAATTGGATGTAAACTTTGGACATATATTTTCCTTTGTCAAAGAGTTAATGCCATGTTCCGAATAATCCTCAGAAGCCATGAAAGTGTTATCAAGAATCACACTAAATTTAGTTTAGAGCTCTACATTCAAGAGGATATATTTTCTCTCCATATATTTTTTATTAAACTGTTGGAGAGATCTTCTTTTTCTCCAATTTATTTTTCTTTGTTTATAGTTTTCAGATAGCTACAATGATATACCTATAGCTATGTTTTTACAACAGCTATGTAACAGCTCTAGTGTTAAAACATCATGGCAGTTTCAGCTGAAACCATTTTATAATCAGAATATACATACTGTTAAGATGGAAGGTGGGATAGTTTTAATACTATATTTGGTACTATGTGTTGAAAGTATGGGCATGCAGAACTATTAATTGCAGGGGTAGAGTAGGGGTCACTGATTTGTCAAAGGATGCTAACTGCACAAGCATTTCAGAAATTTGAAACTGGGGAGGTCAAAGATGGGCCTAGCCTGGCCTCATTTCTAGGTATATTTGGAGTGCGGTAGTACATAAAGTGCTCACATGTTTCATAAGAATATGAGTGAATTATAACTATAACTATCTGTTGATGTTTCAGATTTAGAAGTAAGAAATGTACATGTAGGTGATACTACTATACTGACTAAAGGTTTACCATACTGGACTCTAGAGTGTATAGATTTAAAACACATCAACTATTCTACAGCTTTACTTAATTCTTAATCATAAACTATGTCAAAATGATATTGCTGAGAGGTTACTTTCTTATAAAGATTGTGCATTGTGTCTGTCCAGTTAACCAGATGTCTGCACATTGCGTGTGGTGTCTGTTCATTGAGTGAGGTGTCTTTTCATTGAGTGAGGTGTCTGTCCATTGAGTCAGGTGCCTGTCCATTGAGTCAGGTGTCTGTCCATTGCGTCAGATGTCTGTTCATTGAGTCAGATGTCTGCCCATTGAGTCAGATGTCTGTCCATTGAGTCAGACGTCTCTTCATTGAGTCAGATGTCTGTCCATTGAGTCAGATATCTGTCCATTGAGTCAGGTATGTGTTCATTGAGTCAGATGTCTCTTCATTGAGTCAGATGTGTGTCCATTGAGTCTGGTGCCTGTCCATTGATTCAGATGTCTCTTCATTGAGTCAGATGTCTGTCCATTGAGTCAGATGTCTGTCCATTGAGTCAGATGTCTGTCCATTGAAGCAGATGTCTGTGTGGTATTATTAGGTGCCTGTCTAGAGTGTCATATGCCAGTCCATTGAGTCAGGACTATTGTCTAGATAGTCAGGTGTCTGTCTATTGATTTAGGTCTCTGCACATGAAGTCGGGTCCTGCTTGGCTAAACAGGAAGTCATGGGTTAGATCCATAGGGCCAGGCATAGAGTTTTACCAGTCAAGCCAGACGATACTTCTGTACGATACAATGTAATGTAAATGCATGTAAATGAAACACTGTTGTTGATTATTGTATAAATGATTTAATGAACGAGTATATATTCATTATTATTATACTTCTGCATTCAGTCTGTGTGTTTTTTCTATCTCCCATATGAACAAAGTTGGTTTACGGATACATTCATACTATAGTGGTTTACTTACACCCATTGCCATCTATCTAGCAATCATCCCTGTGTCAACGTATATGTTGCTGAGACATCCCTGAGTCAACGCATATGTTGCCGAGACCTCCCCTGTATCAATGTAATGTTTATGTGACGAGCCGTATTTTGAATTAAGTATGTGTTGCGGAAGCAACCTTTTGTCTGGTCGTATAGGTTGCCGAGACATCCCTAAATCAACCTAAATGTTGTTGAGACATCCCCGTGTGCCAACGTATATGTTGCTGAGACATGCTTGTGTCCATCTGTATGTTTCTGAGTCATCCCCGTGTGTCAGCGTGTTGTTGCTGAGACATCACTGTGTGTCAAGCTTTGTGTTGCTGAGATATCATGTGCCAACGTATATGCTTCTGAGACATCCCCTTCTGTCAAAATGAATGTTGCTGAGACTTCCCTTTGTCCTCGCGAATTTCAGATCAGATATATCACCATTGAGCTTTATCAGTTATGACACCAGTCGATTATAGAAACGACCCCATTCTCTTGAATTAATTAAAGCTATAGATCGAATTTAAAAAAGATTATCGACACAGTTGAGAACATCAGAAGCAAAAATGTCCTAAAAGTTCTTAGTATCGAATTAAAACAATGTTCGCAACCTTAAGTCTGACCTTTTTCTTCAACACACGCAGCACTGGAAATCGAACTACATGTAGTGATAAAAGAATATATTGAACGAAGCGTTCTTATGAAGACATCGAATGACACAGTTTATATTGTCTATTGTTTTCCAATAAAAAACATTTAATAATAAGACAAATGATTACACGCAGTCTTTATTATTATTCCAGCAGTATTTTTATTGAAATAATGGAACTATGGATTTGAGTTTCCATGGATACTATATTGTTGATCTTGGAGTTACCTGATATTTGAAATCATATTGATTAGAATAATGAGGTTTTCGTTATATCGACAGTTCGTCCCACGACACTAAAGGTTTATTATTTGTCTGTTATCTCATGCCTATCAGCTTATTAGCTACGGTGCGTCTCGACGTGGATTAAATTATGATTCTAGTCACAGGTAAGTTTGAGATTAAACAGTTCTTATTTTTAATTAGACTATTTAGTCTTTTGTATCTGATAATACACCTGCCTGCGATTAAAATTCATAAAGCCAATAATTTTACAGTTTTCTGAAAACGTGATTGAAATATAAATAATTTAAGGATAATTTACAACAACAAAAATATTTTCACTGTTGAAATAGTGCTCAATTCATCAATTGTAGAGCTATATAGAGAGTAACAGCAATAAAGTATATATATATATAAGCGATAAACGAATCTTCATTCTTATAAGTCCGACGTAAAAACTGTGTTACTGACGTGTATAAGGTAATAAATGCTAAGTGGATGAGATGGACAAGTGGTGATATTACTCACATTACGATAGTCTATATTCGATTGCGTGATGTAGCCTCATATACATTTCCTATATCTAGCCTGGACCTATAAAACAATTCTCTTATATATAAGTAGTCCCTTGACAAAGTTTTTACCTGTTTTCATAATTGATCTTTTGCCAGTTTGGTAAAAACACTGATAGCATTAGTTCGTATCGTTCTAATTTTCAATCAGATATCTGTGGTTCCTGCAATTGCACTTTAACCATGACACCACTATCGCAAACTCGGCAAAGTTCTTTATATATCAATTGCGATATTGACGTCATGAAATTTTCTTTTAGTGGAATTGCAAGAGCCACAAACGTCTGATATAATATTGGAACTGTGCAAATTGGTGATGTCGGTGTCCCCGATACATGAAAAGTTTAGAGTAGCCTTTAAAAAGTATAGATGTTTTTTTTATAATTTATAGGGCCTACTTATTCTAATAGGAAGGATAAATCTGACACAAATACATCAAATATCAAAACACCATTACATGATGATCATGGCATCTTTTCCTGTAAAACATATTTTTTCTGTTTGACAGGGTATGGCTAGCTGTCGGCTGAAGCCTAACAAGACAGGAGTCTGTCAGGAACCTGGAAACTCCGAGGGACTGGAATCAAGCAAAGACAGCCCGTGTCCTAAAATGGTGTGCTCAAAGGTAAGAAAAGGCCTTCTTATTGTATCATTTTTCTATATATTGGTTCGTCGAAGACATTTCCCCTTGCCAGTGATGCATGTTAGGTTAAACCTGAGTAATCTAAAGCGTCATGTCCGGACATTGGTTGGATAGTGTCCATTTGTATATAGTGTGGGCCATATGAGGATAGTAGTAGGTGAATTAAAGGCCCCTTAGTTTTATATTTCGTCAATATGTAGTTACGGATTCGAGTTTCGTTTTCCGGTTCTGATCGTTATTTTAAAGAATTAACATGTCAAAGACAGAAAGAAGTATTTGAGTTATCGCCATAATAGCTCTGAAAACCTTCCATGGTGGCACACTGCGTCTTCTGCGTACAGTACTCAGCTCTACAAACTATTAAGGGGAGTGCGTAACAGCACTACGTTAACCTCCATTATGTTTTCAGCAATCGATTTCCAGAATATAGAAACATTCAATGGAGCTGAAAAAGCTTTTAGTGTCGGAATGTGAAGGGAAATGTTTTATATATGTCAGAAACTTGTTAGGCAGGAAGAGGATTCGACCGAACACCACATAACAATGTTCGTCATGAGGCGGATATTTTGACATGTTCGATCGTTCCAAATTACTAGACGTTCATATTTGCTTTCTAATCAGATTGTTGTAGATATGAATAAATATCCTAAGATTTGGTGCGATAGAGCTCTCAGTGCGATCTATTTCAATGTTTTTTCGCAGAACTCTAGATGCCATCTTTCAGGATCAATGGACACGAAACAGAACATATAAGTTTTTTTAATCAAATTTACTGTAAATATGAAGAAATATTAGAATTGGTTCAAAGTAACTCGAATTTAAACCAGTGTAATGGGTTTGAATAGGGTACAGGTTGGATTTTAGTTTAAACCTCAGACAACTATTTTACTGTATAATCTGAGCAATATTCTGTTGCTGTATGTTATTAAATCCCTTCGTGTAAGAGTTGAAAGTAATAACGAGATACGGTTGTCAAAGCTACCAGCTGAAATACGAAAGTTTACTTTTAAAAATGAAATCCGACGTAGAATTTGTCTATAATTAAATACTAACATCTGCATGTGTGTTCATGTTGTTGGCAGAATATTATCAAACGTCTTGCAAATTGTTCTATAACCGCTCGAACTAGTTTGAAGACGGATACGACTTACACATGTTATACGCATAGTTAAAAATTAAATGTATAGACGGCAAAATGACTAAGTGTATAAGTGAAGCGAAAATATAACTCATAAAAGAACGCCCTATGGCAGAGGCAAGAACTATTAAATTATTAAACAACTAAAATATGTATTCCTCTATATTATATATAATAAAAAAAAGTTACGTAGAAACGAAGAATAATGAATAGAAGATGAAACAAAAGGTTTAGAGAATGTATAATATCGATCTAAAGTCAATTAATTGTGTTCAGAAAAATAAACGTAGTCTAATTAGGTACGTAGATGCTTTGAACCTGAAACTCAGCCCAAGACAATACGTGAGAACAAGGCGATAATGAGTTCATATTATTGAATATCAGATCTATTATAGTATTGTATTGTAATCCCTCTATAATTATCATCATCCAGATACTTAATCATATGATTATCCATTTCCCTTCTATCTTTTGTGGATTCTAGTTGGAATATGAAGCAGAAGTAGATTAATTTCATACGAACTTAATTTTTAAGCATTTGTTAATGATTATAGCCGATAATGAATGTTCTTTTATTTTTTAATATTTTTAAAACAAGTTTCAGATTTTTTTAACCGAAAGTGTGAACCATTAAGAATTATTGGGCTGTAGCTCAAGCTCTTGTACTGTGTGCGTAATTTGAACACAAAAAAATAACGAATCGCCGTTCTATATAAGACCGTGTCTTTCGTGTTTTCTGACATTATTGTGTAGTTTGGGGTATGAACAGCTTATCAAAGCTTCATTTTGGATCATGTAAACTCAAGTAGGTCGTGTATCCTGTAAATGGTCATACTAAACAGTAACTTATTTTAAACATAATTCAAAAAATAAAAATTACCATTTCCCAACAGAAATTTTAGGTCGATCAAATTTAATTACTGAACAGAAAAATATCATTCGCGATGAAACAATAAGACATTTCCTATGAAATTAAGTTTTTGAATTACATAAACCCTACGTCACTCATTCCAATGCATTAAAGTAAATTTAAAATCGATAATGTGCTCAGAATGGCAATAACAATACATTGTCTGTGACAGAACAAATCCTGCTGATAAAACATTAAATCTATTATGACCATAACACAGCTTCCAGGAACTGCTAAATAATGCATGGAAGTCATTAGCGTATAGGTAGATAACGACACAGTGGGATAATCGACTCTTTATAAAATAATAATGATCAAAGACAGTGATAGCAGATACCATTTAATTGTATTCCCCGAGCTATCCGTGTATTAAGGTTTTATCGACTGTTATATTAATATCTACATCAATCGTTTATTATAGAAACTATATACAGGTATTATCTGGGTTTAATGGCCTATGCTTACCATTAATACTATAGTCTTCTAGCCATTCTATATTATTCAATAATTGTTTGCACAATATAACTTTATTATTTTGTATAATAAAAAACAGAAATGCATTTGAATCAGGCCCGTCTTTAGGGGTCCTTGGGGGCTGGGCCCCAGCAAGTGAGAATTAAGCCCCAGCTAAATCTTCTTCAGTAAGTTCGGTTCAGCAGAGATTGATTCATTTACAGTGACTTTGTACATAATCAAAACGATAGATTTTGATACGTTTTTTGCACCTCAAAATTCTTAGAAATGAGTGCTCTGGGCCTTTAATTCTTCAAATTTTCAAAAGTACAAAATCTGAGCCCAGCACTAATTCAATTCTGGCGACGGGGCTGATTTGAACCTGAACATGTTCTCAAGGCAAATGAGTTCATCTTTCGCAATATAATGTAACCAATCAACTGCTCCTTACAGGGTACACTTTCCTCGCTTAGACCTTTATTGGCTAACCCGAACGTCCAAGGTTGAAAAGCGGATTAGCTCTCGAATAGGACCGTACAAGTTAAAGAGGCCTCAACAATGGTTATATGATTATTTTATTATAGTTGGTGATCAGCTTAAGTCATACAGTTGCAGTTTATGGTCAGTTATGTTTGGCGATAGGCGGCAGCACTGATAGTGATGACTTGAGAATAGAATTACAAAGACAAAGAACAATAGCATGTGATATTTCAATGAAAACCAAAGATAAACTAATACCATTGTATAAAAAGTGAGTATTTTTTTAAATCGTTAAAAGTGTATGGATATTTATCATTCTTGCATCTCTTTACAACTACGTGTATAGTGGCAGCGCGCGTGGTTTTTCCCTTCTCTGCTGTTCATCCGTTTGCATCATCATCATCATCATCATCATCACAATCTTATTATTTTGCTTCCTCTTCGCCATCCTCATCTGTAGCAGAGTAAACGAATTGGATTTGGAGCAACAATATAGTACCAGATGCTCATGAAATAACAGGAAAACTTGATACATGAATACAGTGTTTCTGTCATCTGATAAATCAACCAAACTCATTTTGAATTCAGATTTATTAACCAATCAGTTCAATGTATTTCTTTAAATCTGTAATAGTTCCAATATCCAATGTGATATTGGTCCGAGCAGAACAAAATTCTGTCATTTATTCCCTTCTCGTTTCAGCCAAACTTCCAATGTATCGTCACTGTCCAGTACCAGTGAATGTGACCTAGAGAGACTGTGTTTTCTATTTTCTGGTTGTCTAGAACTTCTAAAATTAGAACTAACCAAATCTTTATCTTTACATCGACTTTTTCCATCAGGTTGGTTTCCTATTCATCGTAAATTGTTACTTCCGGTTCGGCGATCTAGATTTATCAGTTTATTTAAGCCGCTTCCGGCTTGGAATCCGATGTTATTGCCACTTCCGGTTTAAGAAGTAAGCTCAAGCTTACTGACGGTGCTTTAACTAATAACCTTTCTGACTTACGGTTTGAAGGTTTGAAAGTTTATGTCCACTTAACTTCAAGACTCGGATTCTTGGATATTTGAACTAATGGCAACTGATCGGTTGATTCAGAGGTAACAAATCCAAAGATTGATTTCAGATGACAAGATGTTTTTAAATTCGGATAAAACACTATCCATAAAGTATGAAAATTTCCAAGACATAAAAAGCATTGCCGTGAATGCATTCCATCTCTCTTACTTGCCTCTCATGCTTGCTCATTGATATTCCTCTTTAATCATCTACATCAATGCTATCACAAGGAAAGTAAAAGGAATATCGCCGACCCAGTATAATGATAGGAAATAATACTCTTTTGTGATTGTAAAATTGGAATGACTGAAGTAGAAAGCTGGTATTAATCATATTATAGAATGCATTATTCTTATTTAATTAACTAGACGTTTCCTATTAATTTGATTGCTTTTGATGATGAATCTAGAATTGAAGAAACACGAGAAAAGCATTTAGATATTGTCCCACAGTTCCAGTATTGACATATGGTTGAAAGACAGCAATATTCAAGAAGCGATATATAGCAAATAATGGTGCGATAAAAAACAGAAATTTTCCGTAATATGTGACACATTTCAAAAACCGGGCCCGTCTAGATTAAAGCTTCCCAGACGGTTTTGCATTATGGCATTTATATATTTCTATAGATGACATAAATATATTTTGGCAAACTAATATACACATCGGTTGTATCAACGACAGACTGAAGTTTGCCAATATGTATAGTATAAACACTGCAAAGGGTTTTTATGATATATAAAACATCCTATGGGACTTGGTATCGGCATGGCACGATGTTTATCTCCAGTTGCCCTGAGAAAACAATGACGAAGCCAATCCAAAATACGCGAGCATTGTACTAGACTAGCTCGTGTCAATTAGACATTTGACTTTACTAACATTTATATTTACTTTCATAGTCATAAATATCGCTCTTTAACATGGAACACGATTGATTCCGACAAGTCAATGAAAAAAAATCATTTCATTGGCTAATCGATAAAAGAAAAATCGTTTTTCCTTAAAATCGATAGAGAAAAAAAATCATTGACACTAATTGTCGCGGTATGTCAATCAATGAAAGAAAATATTTGTTAAAAAAAAGTTTTCAGTGACCTTTAACTGTCTTATCTATGTTTTAAATACATTTATAAGGAGGTGAATGCAAGGGCGTATCTAGAAAGTGACTGAAAGGTGGTAGGTGAAAATGAAAGGTATCTCTCCATCTTTAATGCCGGGGATCTAGGGGCTGCCAATGGATTTGCCCATCCCCTAAATAATGGAATTTTTCTGGTATATTTTCAGGCTCAACTTGTTTTATAAATACCGGTATCTCAGACTCTATGATTGGAACAACGTCCCGAAAATCAGTCACATCTGTCATTAGTTTAACTGACCGATTCAGAAATGATGACTACCATATAACTTCTATAGAAAAGTACGTGAGTTTCACTACACAATGAATGATGTTAGTAAGAACAAGAATGAAAGAAATAACCATCATGAACTATTTCTATCAGATGTTTTTTGCAAATCCGTCTAAATAGCATTTACCTTGTGGAAATATTCCATACACGTGGGGTCGACTAGAATAATGAGAAAAGGCGTTCACCAAACTCCGAACCACGATCACCATTCCCATGCATCGTATGCATCAGAACATCAGTAATTCTATGTTTTTCAGGGATTTAAGTTGTATTAAAACATTAGAAAATGATGTGGATAGAATAATAAGTGTACAGCCATGGAATATAGAACCCGATACTCACTACATCGGTAAGACCCTAAATACAGAAAGAGGTTTGAACTTTGAAGAGAGCTACTTAACTAGTTGTTCATCTCAGTTGTAGATCATTGGGCAAGTCCCTAGGGGTCGGAAGATCTTCAAACCGGGATTGAACAAAAATCAATGGATGGAAAGTAAACCAGGGTCACACTCGTTACAAAATCAGTGGGGTTTCTAGTAAACATTAGGTGAGGGGGTCAACCAGGGTGGACTACAGGCCATTTCTTTCACTATGTAAATTGATAAAAAAAAATTGAAAGTGTAGGGGGGGGGGGGGGGGGGGGGGGCAAAAAAAGGGCCCGTTAAAAACCCCCCCCGGGTTGGAAAAAAAAAAAAAGGGGCGGACTTGCTTTTGAAACAATTTGATTTCCGGAAAACATTTTGGTTTCCGGGACCCGGGAAAATAT